AATGCTACGTTGCAATGGCTTCTTCCTACTCTAAATTTTACCCTCGGGTGGCCCACAAAAGGGGTGCTATGTTGTAATGGCTCCTTCCCACTCTAAATTTTACCCTCATGTGGCCCACAAAGGGTGAGTGAGTGAGTGAGTGAGTGGGCGAGTGAGTCAATGAAGTCCGCGTGCACAAACGACGCACATTTCGCGTGCACAGACGATGCCCTGCCCCCCCAACCAGAGGACCAGGGGACCAAAGGACCAGGGGACCAGAGGACGAGGGGCCCCTACCATCTGCTACCCGATCCTACTTAGTTGCTACGCCTGATCCCTTAGGTCCCTTCCACCAATGCCACGCCTTCCACTCCAAGTGGCCCTTCTGCAGTGCCTTCCACGCTCTAGGGGCTCCAGAGATTCGATCGGTCGCCCGCACCACAGCACCAAACGAACCGCTGCCCAAGGTTTCTCCTAAATTGTATCTGGCCAAAGTCTTGGCATTTCGCCTCTGGACCACAAAGCTCCGTGAGCACATGGGAGCTTTAATTGGCAGGCCACACCATGCCGCCAGCGCGTGCTGTCGGGGTTTCTAATCTCAAGCTGCAATCATGTTGATGTATGCCAATGTTCCTCTTGGCATGCTTTCTATAATTACTGTGTGATGATGCATTGCGTCACAATTGAGTCATGTCTGTCAGGCAAACTCGTGTCATTGAATCATGGCTTGAGTCTCAGGGTGCCTGCGGGATCAAAGCCAATCAAAGTAAAGACCGCTGTCCAGTTCAGGCCGTCCACCTATGTGCAGTAGGCGTCCACCGCTTTGGAAAGAATCTAACACGAACGACTAGTAACAAAGGGCATTTCTAGGAGCAAGAAGCTCCTGGTCGTACTGCTAGGAGCAAGGACGCTACTAGGAACAAAGGCAGAACGACTAGGGGCCAGGCGTCACCAAGACCTCAGACAAGGTCGCGTGGCAGCCAGCCTCAAGATGGTGCACAACGACCACTATCTGACCGAAAGCTGCACATTCAGGGGGGGCGCAATACAAAAGTCCAAAGACCCTCAAGAATATGTACAGTATATATAGCACATAATATGTGCTTTGCACACTTTAGATCACTTTAGCACTTCAGCTGGCAAGTCAAGTCGGCAAAGCATTCATGCAAAACAACTGCACTCCAGCTGAACAGGTGAAACGACAATTTGAGCTTCAGATAGCTTGAGCAAAACTAGGCCACTACAGTATGAGTACCAGGTTGGCCCTTCATTTCACTTCTTCCATGACACTGTCGGATTCTGACAACACATCGTGAAGTGCTTCGCCAGCACGGATACATGAGCAACTTCCCCGCGATGTTTCTAGAAGTTGCACTGCTTGTAGGTATTCGCCGAATTGTTCTGGGGCTGCTGAAGCCGAAATCGTATTCTGCGAATGCGACCCGCCCCCTGTGGATTCTTAGCATCCAAGTCCCCAGCAAACCTTTCTGGCCAATAGTTACCAGGATCTCCAGAAACTGTGCCGACCCTCCTTCCGTTGCAATAAAAACTCGTAGTGCCATTGCCGCCAACAGCTCTGAGCAAATACCAGCGATCTGTTGACAGTGATTGCCACTTGAAGGGTGTTGTTTCCAGGCCTTGCTGAGAAAAAATGCCAATCTCTCCAGCGCGCGTCAAAAGAAGAAATCCCCGTTTCGCATCAGCCGATTTTGCAAAGGCTAGCACTCGCTGGGTCTCTGCATATTGACACTGCTCCAACCCCCCCACCCGATAGATGCAAAGTCTTTCCTGCAAGCTCTGGCCATTGGCTCGTACCGCATGGTTGCCAAAGCACCTGCAGGTCCCAGCGAGTTTGTGTAGGCCACACCTAGCTTGCTGAGAGGAAGCACCCTACACACATAGTCTTAGACCGTTCGACCCTCTACGGACCTCCATACACCCATATGCCCCACAATCCCGAACACACCGATCCTTTTGTTGAATTCAGCAGGGTGCAATGCTCGCTTGCCGGAAGAGCCGCACCATACGGGAACCTTGAAATAGCATGGACAAATTAGTTGCTCCATGTGCACCTCTCTGAGAAGAGCCGCCGACCACCCTGACCAAAGGAAGGTAAGTTGTGCGGGTGGCTTGGAGTGATGGCCACCCTGCTCTGAAGTCCAATGTCATTTCCATGCCGCCGCCGATTGGCCACAGCATCATCACGCAAAGGAGAAAAACCATCAGGATGAATCGGGCAAAAGCAGAAAAAAAACAGTATCCTCCCCCAGTTCGTCCCCTCGACTCACTGGCATGCAAGTGGTTATTGTTCTGGCTCGTCTTGATTGAGTTTGGCTGCGAATACCAAGGCCAAAGCATCCACCCATCAGGCTTGAGTATCTAGAATCTAAACTGTACGAGTACATAGCATATATTATATATTATATTATATATATAATCTGTATATAGTACACACATAAACACATAACTTTGGACCTAGCTTGATTAGTTTTGTCATTGCTCACACAGGGAACAAGATCAGCCAACCGAACCAACAGTCAGCTGCACGAGCACGATGTATTTTGATAACTATTCTGATATATTCTGATGATATATAATATATATTAAATCTACGTCATTCTGCATCAGCATCTTCCATCTACATCCTAGGTACGATAGCTTCTTGCAAGGAAACTCCTTCAATTTGAGGGCCAGGCTTTCCGTGCCACACTTTTGGCCTCCTTGACTGTGCGCTCCGCCAGCACCTCAGCGAGCGGTGATGATTTCCGATCATCCAACAATGGCCGACTGAGCCTAAGCTCACCACAATGTTTCCAGCCTGAAAATGTAAACCAGCCACCTGATGCGAGCTGGTGGTTTAATCTGTTCGGTCTGAAGGTGTGGGTTGCAACAAAGAAGAGGCAGCCTGGGGCCTACAGCGAACATGTCATTTCGTGGCATTCAATCATTTGAGACTTGCTCAGCCTCACTCAGCCACCAGAATCTATACATTCGGTGCTTCCGGTTGTCTGCTACCGCAACTTCTGGCAAGAGCATGGCTTCCCAGCTCAGGGATTCGTGCCTCCCGTGTGAAACCACCTCCGAGACCTCTGACAAGGACAGAAGTCTGTCCAGCTCAGAAACACCTTCACGTTTCTCCGGTTCCCCAGTGATCAAAATGCCTTCCCTTGCGACTTGCTCTTGGAGAAGGCGCCGAACTGTTCCAAAAACACTCGCGGCGTGATCCGCATCATAAATGATGTCAGCTCCAATGATCAGGTCAAAACGATCGACGAAACGGGGACCTAGGGGGCCTCCAGAAGAGACTTGCTGCCAGTCCAGCTTTTCGGTCGAAACGGCGCTTTGCAAATGGTTCAATTCGATGCTTCTGGAACATGCACTCAGTAACTCATTGTCATAGTCGGTTAACAGCACAGCCTTGGCACCAGCTCTTGCGCAAGCAAGGCCCACGAGGCCCAAACCGCAGCCCAGCTCCAAAACACGCCTGCCTCTTACATCAAGGCCGCCCTCAAGTATGAGCTTCAAACAGGCATGAGCACCATGCCAAATGAACCTTCCATCTGCCATGGTCCAATCGGACACATCTCTGGCAACAGACAATTGTATGACGCCCAAGCTTCCAAGATCCGTGTTCAAAACTTCTTCCTTTTTGGCAGCAGCCAGCTCTTCGATGAGCTCTTCCGACACTTCTGCAAGTTCGCTCTCTTTCAATAGACAAGGGCATAACCAGGTGGTCATGCTGTCAACTCCCAATTCTTTGGAGACACTTAACTCTAAGTTCTTCATTCGCAAAGCACGCTCTCCGCTCCACCTCTCAGGAATTCTCAACTTCTCCAGGATCTCATGGAGTGAAACCACCAGTTCTTCTGTGTCATTTCTGCGGCGAGCCAGCGCAGCTCGTTCCACCAAAGGTTGCCAAACACCGTCATCATCTGGTTGCATTCGGCCGACTGAGACGGTTCAAACCTGTTCCTTTATTTAACGGGTGCACATGTTGAAAGCATCTCCTCATTCCACTCATTGTGACATGTCTCTAGCCGCCACTTGTTATGTTGATGTGAGCCCAAGTCCAAACTGATTGTGTGGCTGAAGGTCGTCAGGGTTCCGTGAAGGGTGCCCTCATGTTCCATGTCCATCACGTTATCGCTTCTGGTGAGTGTGTTACATCTTTGAGCAACACTTGCCTTTTTGGGATCTGACCGCCACTCACAGACTCTTTGTGCATCACTAGTATTCATTTTAACTCATGTGTCTTGCACGAGGTCTTCAGCCAACCAGGTCTACGGCAGGCAAGCTTGAGCGATTGAGCTAATTCCTTGGATGCTCGGGATGCTCCACTGCCACTCACGCTTATCTGTGCTCCGACATGCCACACACTGAAAAGGAGCAAAGCAACCCCTGGTGCTCTGACTTCAAGGACAAACTCAAGTCAAACAGCTCACGGTCGACGGCTCACATCCGTGGGACCGTGCCGTGCGCGTGTGCAGTCGTCCAGCCTGATGCAATGCGTCGGCCTCCTTCTCTGGACCGCAGCTTTCACGCCTCGGACGCCATCTTTGTGGAGCTGGTCAGGACCAACCCGCAACATTGGACGCTATGCTGCAGTCTCGGAATGGTGTGCCCTGGCTAAGGCTGTTCTACAAGAGTAAGAAAACAATAGAATCAACTCTCCTCCTTGATCAGCGAGAGCTATAAAACACACGATGGGCAAATGTTTCGCAGGTCCAAAACAGTTTGCTTTCTTGCCCTGTCCTTACTGGTGTGGTTTTATTCGTTCTCTACGTAGCCACTACATGGTTTCTACACTACGTCCTCAGGGCACTAAGACTGTGATGTTGATAATTGTGTAAATTTGGAAACCATTTGACTTCAAAAAGGATTATACATGTCATATGTAATAGAAACATCATATCGTTGCGCTGAGTGCCAAACACCACAGCTAAACGTTCTTCACCAGCCTGCGATAGAAGTGCACGACAAATTTGAAGGCAAACAAAATAAACAAGCAACAGGCAGGTCCAAGATCATTGCAGCGATTTCTTGCAATGTCCTGACAATTTTAGGACATGGACACGGACACGGCATCTTTCCATGCGGAATGTGGGAATCAGTCCCACGCTGTGGCAAACCCGGATGTTGGCTCAAGGTTTGGGGGCTGAGATGCCAACTTGTGCTGGGTTGGTTGAGTCAAAACTGTTCTCAACATTGGCAGCAAAAAACTTGGACAAATGTCCCAAAGCCGAATCCTGGAGTCGAAGTGCACCATTACCGAAACAATCAAGCTTAACTTATAAGGCTTAAGTGCCATGCCCTTGGCGTCGAAAGCTTTCTAATAGATGAAGGTATTGTACGTCCGTGTATGTGCTTAAAACATCTTAAAACATCTTACCTCATCTTGCGTCTAGATAATGCAAAATGTCTACAAATTCGTAACGACAACTGTGGCCTTGAAAGGGATGGAGCTGCTGACACGATGATTCAACTTGCCCTGGGGGTGTTTTCGTTCCCGATATCCGTCCTGCCTCAAGAGCAACGTCCAACTTGCCCTGTGCAGCTCTCAACTTGGCCATAAGCTCTAGGGCCCGCTCTTCGCCAAGAGGGTCCCCAACTTCCTGTGAAGCGTCGCATGTGCGGATGCCGGCCAACAGTAAGGCTGCACTGATGAATCTAAAGGCCTGGTAGAACTCTTGACACTCCTGAGCTGTAGTCGTTGCCTGCGGGTCTTACAAAATGCCTGCTGCTTACTGCCTTCCGCATCGCCAGCTACATCAAGCTCCAACTTCAATGATGTTGAACAAACATCGCGCTTAGCATCCCCGAATCGCTCATCACTTCCCAAATGTTCCACACAGAAACTCGCTTCGCCTGCTGAAAATTTTGCAGAACTCCCTGAGCCTCCAAGTGCAGTCGACTGGTTTCCACAAATTTAGACCCAAAAGCATCTATGTTTGAGTCGTAAGTGGTACAATCAATCCATGACACACCAATGGTTCACTGCCCCGACTGGGATGCTTCGGGTTTATATAATCCTGAGGTGTGAACAGTTCCAACTGTCTCCAGACCCCTCGCCATGTTCCGCCTTGGAGAGAGTGGGGCAAGTTTTTTGCAACGCGATATGCTCCGTATGGCCAAGTACCCATCGAAAGCATCAACGTCGGACTTTCTACTCAACCCCCCGATTGTCTCTTGACAATGTGATCACCAGAACATGTTCCCGCAAGGTTGAATGAACAACATCTAGAATCTAGATCCACTGGGATTTTGGATCAATCAAGAACATATGGTCCTAGGATGCGCCAGGGTTCAGGCTTGTCTCCTTGTCGTTCTGAAGTCTCAACGGCCTCTCTGGCAGCAGAGAGTGCCTAGCAGAATCGTCTGGTTGACCAAATGCACCATGAGAGGGAAAGCTTGCTTTGCACGCCTAGGCCCAGGCTGAAAGGCCGTTGTGAAACCCCACGAACCAACCAAACCAGGAAGGGTGGCTCTACCATTGCAAATCATCAACTCAAAGAAGAAGAATCAGCTCTCTCTCTCTCTCTCTCTCGCGCTCTCAACCTCTCAATATCTCTCTCTCTGTCATTTCAAGTATATGTCAGGCATAGGCATAGTTGTCAGTGCATAACACTATATAAGTGTTGAATGATTGGCTGCTGCTTCTCCTACCTCCTTGAACTGACCGCGGTTGATGTGCACGTCAGCAATGAAGCGCTGAATGGCAGCCTGCTCCGGGCAATCCACTGGGGGATGGGAACATCAAACATGGGCTGCCAGGAAACACTTCAGGCCTGCAAAGTAAGGTTCCCGGCCTGAAGAGGAAGGATATCTACAAGAAAGGTTCTCAATGATATGCATTGCTAGCACAACAATATGGGAATCTCTGCAAAAATGGCGAATTGCGCAGATTCAACAACTGTGCCAGTGCATGGATGTACCGGTCTACCGGTGTACATTAACACACACACTCATGTACCAGTATAGTGTATATATATTATATATTAACATACCTGAGAAAGGAGAGGACGAAAGCCACGAGAGACCAATATGGTAATGCAAGATTGGGAGGGAAAAATAGCGGAGCACTTTTTGTTGAATGCCTGTAGCTTTCGTGGAGTTTGTATCAACGTGGAGTAGGTAGATCAAGATCGGGGCAGTGATCGGGGCATAGGGACTGTGTAGCTCTGATCATACCAAGAAGGACCAAGCAACAAAGAGTGAACGCTCTGGGAGCGAACGATGTGAGTATGTGCAGTTGGGCGAGGTAGAGGCTTGGGGATAAGAGCGCCGCAAGAGGAGAAACAAGAAAGCTGCAAGCGTTCAACACTTCATGTTGTGCTCCGATCTTGATCTCAGCCGCAGTGATACCAGCTCCACGAAACTACAAATTTTCAACTATAGGTGCTCTGCTATTTTTCCTCCCAGCCCTGCTCTCTATAGGGTTTCGCATGGTTTCGCATTGATGCACGATACCCGAAACACATTTCAACACAACCACTAACAATTTCGGGCATCATTCTCCTGGTGTTCACTGACGTCTCTTTTTGCACGGATTCTCAAAAAGAACACCAACAAGGGACGCTCCAGAAGGCGCCGCACCAAGCAAATCAAGAATACTAAAAACATTCAACACTTCATGCTGTGCTCCGATCTTCATCTACATCCCAGTGATACCAGCTCCACGAAAACCACAACCACTCAAGAATGAGTGCTCTCCTCTTTTCTTTCTCCCAGCCCTGCTCTTCATAGGGCTTCGCATTGCTGCACGATGCCCGAAACACATTTCAAAACAACCAAAAACCACCTTTCGGGCATCCTTCTCCTGGTCCTCACTGACGATTCTTTTTTCCCGGACTCTCAAATAGACCACCAAACAGTGACGCTCCAGAGGGCACCGCGCCAGGAAAATCGAGAAAGCCTAAAACATTCAACACTTCATGCTGTGCTCTGCTCAGGAAAAGAAAATTGTCTCCACTTGCGCACTATGATTGCCACCGCAAGCCCGGCCGCTCTGCAACACGATGGCGCACTTGTGCCGCTCATCGCATGGATCCTTGGGGCAACATGGGGCAACTCTCCGTCTAGAAGCTGGCGCACAAGGGTTGGCCGTTCCTCATGTACTTGGTGAGCAGCTTGTTGTTGATAGACGCAGGCATGACGGAGACTCCGGCGACCCCTTCATGATGCCAATGATGCACTACTCTGCGTCCATTGCATCACTCGCATCACCAGACCTCATGTTCACTGCTTTTCTGATCCTCGCTTTGGAGCGCTCTCCCCTACCAAGCTCCGGGTTCACCCTCTCAAAAGGTGCCTTTTCGCACCCTCCCCCCCCACACCCCCTTAACTCACTTCGTTCACTCTAAGAGCTCAAGCCTAGCCTATCGGCTGGCTTTCGTAATAGTATATTTCAGTAGACAAAGATCACCTATGCCGACTGTTGTTAATCTGACATACGATATGCATGACTATCTATGTAACGTGATTGTTCACCCGAAGGAATCCAGACTACTACGAGCCTTGGAAGCCAAAGCCTGCGCCTCTTGAAGGCCTCAGAAGACACTTCTCGAGTGGAACTTATATTAATATATACTAACATATATATATATTACTATATAGGGTCTATCTCATTACCAGTCGCAGTGGATGTTGCTTAGCAAAAGCCTTTCTCTAAACTGATGGACATTATCGGCTCTTAGAGGTACTGTCGGACAAACCCCATATTTAAATATAGCCAAATGAGGTCTGTACGTCTGCAAGCTTCCTCGTAATCATCCAGGACTGCCAGCCTTGACGACGCGGATGGAGGGCAAAGCCGGGAGGGTTCGGGGGCTTCGTCCAGCATTTGCAACAAACGGCCCCCCCCCCCACAGGAAGGTTTTTTTCAGTCCAAATGGGGTGGGTTGACTACTCAACAGTCCACCTTGCTTGGCACATAAGCTTCCCACGCGGCGGCTTCGTCCCGAATGGCACGAGCCATGAGGCTATCATCTGCACAAGCTGCTGCGACCTGGTAAGATTCTGCATGGTGATTGTCTGGTGAGAAACTGTTTCAACACAATCCCACCTGTTGGCCTTCTTGTGCTGTACGCTTTGAGTCCTTCCGCTTGCCCAAATGTAACCTCGGCACAAAACAAGTGAGCCGGACATACTCTCGCGTTGATCGTTGGGGAAAAGTGTTTGCATCAGTTCAGGCTTTTTTACCGCCCATGCACGAGCAAAGAATTACACACACTTTTGAGTAAAGATTACGTAACCTTTCGCCGCTACAGATGGGGTGTCCGTCCAGAAATTGCACACGCAAACGTACGAAAAATTCAAGTTGGATGAAGGGTGGCCGTGGTGAAACCAAGTGCAGAGTTTATTGCATCACACCACTTCTGATCGCAGGAGAATGTCATCGAAAGCTGGAGAGATCTACCCTTCGGAAAGCACCAAGCGTAAGGTACCGGCTGAGCTGCAGCAACAATCTGCCGAGGCAAAACACATCGGAGTTGAACTAGACCCCACAAAGCATATTGAAGTATGTTTGTTGTATTGGGTTGGGAGAGCACATGGGGCCACATGCTGGTACCGCTCTCTCGACCCTTTCAACTGGCCAGCTTCTGCTGGCCATGTCTTTTTGCTCGATCTACTACTTCGGCCGCCGGCAGTTTCTAGTAACTTCTAGTGAGACGCCAGGCGTAAGACGCCCTACGACACAAAGACCTCGACGTTGGACATGGGGAGGACAACCGCACTGGTTGGAGCCTATTGATGGCAAACTTTGCTTCGACAAATCACGTCAGAGTCAAGATCTTCATGTATGGTCTGGTGAGTGATACACTTACAGTACAGCCGTCAACCTTAAAGCTCCTACCAGAATCATGAATCATAATTAATAATTCAACACATTTGAAAGCTCCAGGATCGTACCATAGCCATAGCTCTAAGGAACTTAACAAAGCTGCACTTTGCGGCATCACCAGGCCAATCATGTCAGAAGTCAAAAAGTAGCAGCCGCCCGATATTTCGAGATCTAGTAGATAGCTGCGACGGCTTTTGCCATCAAGCAACTGGCCGATAGCCAAAAAAGACCTCATGCCTGTCATGCCTTGCTGGTTGCCAGCAGGGTCACGTCTGGGTGAGGCTGGCGTGGGAGCCTCGAGAAGTAAAGACAGTCTGTTCTGGCCAAACCCAGTTCAACCCGTGCTGCTTGAGCAGGTCAATCCAGCTCGCCGTGCTTTACAACTGAAGGGATCTGGTGACATATGGTTGGAATCGGGCCTGCAAAGGATAACCATTTCTGGACTCTCGATATCTCGTTCAGCCGCAACTCCACGTAGCCTCAAGTATCGTCATGGGCGCTTTTTGATGTCAAATGTGCCTGTCCGTCACGAAGCTCAAGACGTTCAATCAGCAGAAACTTCAGACATTTTTTTGGACATTTAGAGTCTATTGAGCCTATCTCTGTCTAGAGAGGCATCTCTAGGCTTTTGCTTCCTATGAGGACCTTGCACTACAACACCTACACTTACAGCCTTTGGAGCCATGATTGGGTTGAGAAATTGGTGCCAAGCAGCTCATGAAGCTCATCCACCGCGTCATAGCCTGCTGCTTGGGAGACAACTTTGCAAAACAAGCAAGATTTCATGAATGTACAAGTTTAACCTGAAGTGACTTACTTCAGGCTTGTGCCCCAAGATCCCTGCAAATTTGGATATTATATAGTAATATTTATCGGTTGCGAATGTTGGTGAAGTTGGATCACATGCGCAAACCAAAAACACTTGGCCTTCTGCTGCTCCATCAGCAGCATCGCCAGGTCCAATGTTTTGGCCCCCCCTCGCAACACCATGCAGCCTGATACAAACCTGAGCTCTGAATGTCTTTCAAATCTAACAGTGAGCGTTAAACGGCATACCGGCATACCCACTTTAGCACGGTGCGGTTGAAAAGGTCCGCCTCTCCGCATATCTCATCCTATTGAGTCTGGGATCCATCTTCGGTTGCTTATTGTATGGGATGAAGCCCTTGAAACTGCCGTACACGCTGCTTCTGAAATGATTGCCGCTTAACTAACTTGGAAACATGCCCATGGCTGACCCCAGAAACAAGATCGATCCTTTGCTAATTGAATTGTTCCTGAACAGTTGGTGAACGAAGGAACGGCCTTCCTGGCAGCCATTTGAGGCGCACTGCATGATGTCTACACTCTATTGCCTACAGTACTGCAACTATCTGTCACTCGAGGCCAGGATCGCAATGGCGTTCTGGACCCTCATCGACGACAAACGACTGCATTAACAAGAACTGTCGCTGGCGGGATGGATTGAAACCGCCACGTTTCGGTGTTGCAATGGGGAGTTCTGAGTTCTGTCAAGAAACTCGTTGATCTCGATCTCACCATTGCAGTCTGCATCCAAAAGCTTGAATAAACGAACAGCTTCAACGCCATCAAGCCCCATGCCTCGACATTACAGTACTCAGCATGACTCAAAGGTCGACAAAACACGGCCTGCCTCGCTCGCGTCACCCGCGTTTTTTCTTTGGTGGTGGTGGTGGTGGTGGTGGTGGTGGTGGTGGTGGTGGTGGTGGTTGGCCCCTTGGTGTATGACATGGGTTGTTGTGAAGAAATGAACAAAAGAAAGAAAGAAAGAGAGAGAGAGAGAGAGCTTTGGGGAGATCCTGATCGACATTGATCAACGTTATGCCTTTGGTCACCGAACAACTCGCCAAGCCAAGCTGCTGCGCAGGAAGGCTTGCACACGAACGTCTTCCAAGTGGTTTGTGAATTCCTCGAAAGTGATAGAGCCACTATCATCAGCATCTGCTTCCTGGAACACTGCCACTGCATCCTCCCGCAGCCAAACGGAGCAATCCGACGGCTGGCATGTAAAGTGTCATACGGCGCATCTTTCCACTTGACCGATGCCTCCAACAACTTTAGCCAGGATGTAAGCCCTTGCCGTCAGTTCTTTTAACTGTATGGAGTTGTTGCATGAACTTTGCCAACTTGATGTTGGGTCATTTCATCCCTGCTCATTTCTAGCTGTTCTAGTTCCAGCCTCAGGTTTTACAAACACTCCAACCCAGCGCCCGGCTGCCTTGCTGAATTTGGAATCTTTGTCCAAATAATCCTGAATCACAAGATCACGGTCATCCTCCGCCATTTTCATGGCATATTCCACGAACCTGCAGGAATTAATCTTACTATGGACAGGCTCTCTGGCTGACCCTGCTGAATGTTGATTTTGTTCCTGACTCAGTTGCGGACACAGCCGTGACAACATTGAGCACGGCCATTGCCACCAATGCCACGTAGAACAAGAAAGCAAGTACTGCCTGACTGCGGTCAGAACCACAACACATGAGGAAAGTCAAAGCGGAGAGGAAAAACAACCTGACTGACAAGGAAGGAGAGCTGGATGAGCTGCAAGAGGAGAGCTGTAACCAAATGAGCATCACCCCTATCAATTAGATCTTCTGGCGTTCTGGGTCGGTCCAGCTACCCCGACTCCAACTACTGCTGCTACCACCACAACCACCACCACGACGACCACTACTACTACTACTACTCCTACTCCTACTCCTACTCCTACTCCTACTCCTACTCTTACTACTACTACTACTACTACTACTACTGCGACTACCACTACGACTACTCCTACTACTACTACTACTACTACTATCGCTACCGCTACCACTCCTACTGATACTGACACTGGAACTACTACTACGACTACTACTACTCCTCCTGCTGCTACTACTACCAGCCTCAGTGCGGAAGAATGTTCATTGATTACTCTTTGTTGATTGATTGTTTCTTTTCTTGAGGGCTTAGCCGACCCCTGACAAGAGCCTTTGTTGGTAAGTAGACTGAAAACTTTGTTCGGTCATCGAAGAGCACATTGACTTCTTTGAAGGCCACTACGAGCATCCACATTTGGTCACGAAACATCCTCCAGGAATCTGGCGAACCCCCAACATCAAGAGAAAGAATAACCGGATTTTGTCCTGCGATCATCTTTGTGATTCCATATGAGAAGGTAGAAACCCAACACCTCACAAACATTGAGTGGCCACCCGCCCTTTGACAGGAGGGTAGGGCGACACTTCAACCTTTCTAAACTTCAGCGAATCATGCTGTGTTGGGGTATCGCCCCCAAGCACCCGATCCTTCACTTCTCTCGCCCGGCCAGAAAGCCTGGGCCGGGCGAACTCCACAGCCGATTCCTAATCCCAAAATTGAACCACCTGCCGATTCCGGTTCGTCATCGCAACAATAAATTTGAATTTCTGCCCCTGCTTGGCCATACGGCTGCAATTACAAACACTTCTTGCACCAATCAATCAAACCTCCTTTCGTCTGCGTCTATAATATAATCTCTTCGAATGACAAAACGCGTGTCCGCACCCATTGTTTTCAAATTAAACGGCTTGGCTTGGCTGCGGGAAACAGATGTGTCTTTCTTTTTTCCCCTAGCCCGCTTCCAACCCAAGGTTCGCACAGTGTCCTGAGGTGCTGTAACCCCACCGAACTTAAAGACAGCACCACGTCAGTCAGCTCAAGATTCCCTCATGCTGCGCTCGGATTCCAAGACATTCATGGCCGAGGGCGTCCAGGGTCTCAAGCATGCCCCTTTAGCACGTTGAAGGCTGTCTGGCTTTACTTTTCTTGTGTGCGAAGTGCTGCCAGCTCCAAGTGCCGCCTTGCGAAGCACCAAACATGGTGGTGCGGGGGCAACAAATGTGAAGCTGGATGTAGCGAAGCTTGGGCCCTGCGAGCCGGAGCCATCAGTACCCAAACGGAACTTTCTTCGAGCCCTGTTGGACCAGCAAAGCTCCATACTGGACAAGTGCCGCGCACCATGTTCCTCAAACTTTTTAATCTCTTTCACAGAAACCGCCGTTTTGCAAGTGGATTTTTCCGCCTGCGCTAAGGTACTGTTTTGCAAGTAGATTCTTCCCTGCAAATATCCCCAAATTTTGAGCAAATTATAGGTTGGTTTATTGGTTTCCTGGAGCAGGTTCACCGATGGTGCCTGCTCCAAGTGCTCTCGCACCGCGGACATAGCCAAAGTCCCGAATCGTGTGGCCCCGCTACCGAAATATCAACACGGGGCTCACGAAGTCCGGCGACGTTCAGCTATAGCACCTACATAGGTGATCCTATCGAAGATAGGAGCTAGGGTGACGTACCCAAAATGGCAAAAGCTTCTTTGGTGCCCGACAGCTGCGGGCACATAATGTAAGTATACAATAGTATTAATACATATGTAAGTCCTAGTAGCAACTTCACACAACTTTTTGAGGTGCCAAGCACCACAGTAGATCATTGTTAGACGTTGATGCGTTCTTGCGTGCAATTGACCCTGTGCACTGAACTGACTCCTTGTGGTGCAATCTGCTCTTCGACACCAAGGTTGGACCAAGGCTTGTTTGCAAGTATCCCAACAATGCTAGGATCAAAAAGGGCACATGGCACATGTTATCGTTTGAGGTTTGTGGTAGTTAGCTTGTTACAAGTCATGGGCCACCTGGCATTTAGCAGCACATCAGAAGAGCCTTGTATTTCTTAGTCCCTGGCCATCTTACAAATGAATGGGACATGTAACATGTATTCCATGTTCAGTAATTAGAGACCCGCCGAAGACTAAACATGATGTCACTTGTGGGAACGTGGTTGTGATACTTTCATCAACAGTATATAAGTACAGTACAGTAGAGCGAGAGAGAGAGAGAGAAAGAAAGCAACGTGTTCGCAGTTGTAGCTGAAATTTGCTCCGTTGGTTCTAGGACTCTAGGGAGGCTTCAATACTACATTACAAATTCTATTGTCATCAGGACTCAGGACGCTCGCTGCGTTTCTCCCTCTTTCTTCATGCAAAAGATCAGGCATGTCTTTCTTGGGCAACTTGGGCCGAAGTTGCTATGTAGTTCTCAGTCCTGATGAAGAGATCTGCCGCTGCTCCCCAGTCCAAACCACCAGCGATTGAGAGGAATAACACCTCGGAGCATGCACGATCATTGCACATCGATGCTCCTTGTGCCTTGCGGCATTCATGCTTCTCATGTAAGGGCAATACGTACAAGGTCTTCCACAAGGAACCAAACTTGTCCGTAATCTCATTTTCGAGCCTTGGCCATGACACGACAAAAATTGTTGAGACTGGCATCGGCTCGCAAACACCAACGTGGGTGCTCAATCCTAGCCCCCAACAACACACAGTAGGGCCCCAGCCCTTTCAAATCATCGAGGTAGGCCCACTGCTCAGGCTGTTTGTTCATTCCCTGAGCCGGGGAGAAGTCAAGCGTTTTACGCCTGCCTTGCCTCATCTTCATCTTTGCTGAGGACTTGTTTCAAAGATTCAATATCGCCCAGTCATGGCGTGAAAACACATCCACTTCTTGGTGCAGCAGGATCCAAATGGGTTTAGAATCAGGAAGAACCTCGTAGCACGCCTTACCTCACCGAACACCCGGGATTGTGCTTCAGCCGAATCCAAACTTGGCCTGCACAGTGTCAGCTGTCACGGTGATGAAGTATATTGCGAAGCACCATTGGATGAAGAACAAAAGCCTTAGGATAATCTCAGGATTGCACAATTAGTCTGCTAACCTGTGGCAAATCAAACACGCTTTCCAGCCGCTGTACTTTCAGCCGCAGGCACACAATGCACCAAAAGAGCGGAATGAGGCAGCCAAGAACAGATTGAACCATGACGCGTAACTCACCTTGGTGTCTGCACATGCCTGTGATGTTAACATCTGTAAACCGTGGCCTTGAAGGAGACTTGCCGCAAGGGTACGGAATATGTTCATAAAGCGAACTGCCCGCATCAAACGCGTCATGCGCAGAATTCGCAGGATGCGCAGCATTGTGAGCATGGTCATGAGTTGGTTGCTATCCTCAGCCAGGCCAGTGCACTGAATGCCAGCACACAATGAAAGCAACTCTGCGTGCGGGCCATGTTTTTGTGCCCCTACCATGTCCAAATCGGCCGTTTCGTCATAGGCCCAGTCTGAGCCAAGGCACTGCATCGCCTTAGGTGGAGACCGGCGGAGAAAACTGGTCCCCAAGGGTGAGTCTGTAGGTAAACTGGGTCTTACTGAACACATCCACGCAACAATGGTGGCATGAACTCGACCTTTTGACATGTACCAGGTACCGTTTGCAAAGCCATCGCAGTTCTTTTTAAGCGACACAACTGCTGCTGCCAAGCAGCGGTTGCAGTCCACCAGAACTACCTGGTGGCACTCAAAGGGCGAATCACAGAAAGCAAACAACGATTTGTCGGCACTCATACTCTCGCATGCCAACGTTGTCCGAACCCTGAACCTCCATGCGACCTGGGGTCCTTATGGGTCCTTTGTCTCACTAAGCAAAGGTGCTCTCTGAAGAATCTCTTCGATAATTCCCCCAGAGATGACCAGCAAATCAAACCAATTCCAAGACCTGCAAATCGCAGTGTCGGAGGTCGCGGTGCGACCGGGCAGATTCAAGCAACTAGGATTAGGATGATCTACGATGTGGGAAACAAACTGCTGAGCTCAGCAGTTGTACCGATGTTTCACGGGACACAGTTATATTGACCTCTGCACGGTCTCGCTCGTCGGACGCAGCCTGCACTGGTGGGTAGAAAAAGTTATATCCCCTTAACGCCTTTACCTTTGGGGAGTGTTGCTGTCTCACACATGTTGCAAAGGAATACACTTTGGATGCGGAATGTAGAAGCGCATGCCTTCAGAAACAGGAGAAACACACGCCGCAGTAGGAATGTTATGGAATAGGACTACTATATTGGCCACGCACCTGACCCGCTTGCAAGATTGCCCCAGTGACCACATCGCACGCTAGCACTAAAAGTCTTGCCTGTCTACGCCGCAGAAGAAGGTTTTGGCACCGAAGCTGAAGATCCGGATGACTAGCTCAAGTGTGAAAATAACGTTGCATACAAACCTGGGGCAAACATGCTCCATAAATGCCAAAGTCAACTGATTCAAGGGCGCTTCATGTTGCTTCATGTTCCTTCATCTAACCAGTGTTGACTCCGCAAAGCCAAGTAGCTGCAAGGTGGCCTAGGCCGTCCCAATATCGGGTTGAATGAAACTTCCATGCCGTGTTTGTTCAATATGTTTACTTTTGAGCCTTTCCCAAGTTCCAAAAAAACGCAAGAGTGCACGTGTCTTACTTGATCAAGGACCATGGACCATGTTGGAAACCCAGGTCACACACACACACACTCGAGATATTGCGTACGGACACGACTTGCGGCTTGCCACACGCCAGCCTAAGTAAAAACCTAAGAAAGCCAGGATAGGTGTAAGTAGGTGGTCTGAACATTTTCGACACCTCAAATTAAAGGCCTCCAAATCCATCGTCGAGAGCCCCAACGAAAGCGACAAACGCGTGAGCTCAAAAACCGATGCAATGGCCAGCGACTTGTTCCAGTGACAGCGGGGCCGAGGAGGAAGTAAGTGGTAATCACTGCAGGTACGTCTGGCTGATCAGGCCAGATATGAGCACGGAGCTTGACCCTCTTGGTTGGATCACCAGTTAAGTCTGCGGGTGATCCCCCTGCTGACAATCAAAGGATTCCCTGTGATTCCAAGGGTTTCACACACATACACACACACACACCCGCGCGCGCACACACACACACACACCCCAGCCAAAGGATCAAGCACAAAAAAGACCTTGAGTCAGTGGTCAAATGGCTCAAAAGCCTGCACTAAGAACAGCACCCATGGTCCTCCGCAGGCATCCATGGGGTTCATTGCACGGTCATTCGCCTACAAGCTTTCGTGGGCTTCCGCGGGCGTATCACGAGTAGCTTAGTAGGTTTGTGCACACATGGTGTGTACGGCCTCCATGCCCACACTGAAGGAGTGAAGCAAAATGAGGCAGCCTGAGAGTTGGTCCTGAAGGGGAAGATCGAACGAGAGTTGGTCTGGCTTCGTGGGTGTGTCTCTGTTCCATGCACTTACTCTCATTGCGGACACCTTCTAAAATGGCTTTGTTTGTGGCATTTCCAGGAACATGAGCAGGGATGGTCGCCTTGAATGAAACTTGATTCACTAGAATGATGTAGTGCGTCTGTAGTGGGTCAACACAGTTTGACGGCTGATCTGCTCATGGGCCATACCGTATCCATTTGAAGTCTTAGTACTTCCGCTCCCGGTCGTGAAATGTTGTCTATCTGTCGGTGACTCAGTGCTTTGATGGCATCTATGTCCAGAAAAATCAGAAAGTGCTTTGAGAGCCCCCTGTGAAACCGCTAGAATACCCATCACAATCTGGAGCATTGCCGGCACTGCCACTTAGCCACTTTTCTAGTTTTGGCATGTTTCGGCTACGGAGTGCTGGTTCCATGAGCCCCTTCCATAGCTTATTTATCCAGAAAATCAGTTGACGCCCAATGCTTCTGGCCAAGTTTCAAAAGACGTGCTGGTGATGAATCGCTGGAAAACACCTCAGCAACACTTCATCGCGCAGCACCTACAAACATCTATACACAAACCAGGGCTTGGTAGCCGCAAATGGGCCTGCATTGCATAATCATGCATGATCATTGTCTGACTGGTGCATACACAGTGAGGTATCACACACACACAGTCCAAACACTTTATGAGAGTGAGAAACAAGGATAAATTATCATCACACACCACCAGAAAGAGATCAGACCTAAGTCACCGGAACTCACGTCCTTCAGTGAATCACTGCAGATGAGGGTCTCATCCGAGATTTTTCTCTTCTCTGAGCCTTTGCAGATATTGCTGCACCGCCCCCAGCCTCGACAAAATGGACAAACGTGTCATTGACAGTATCATATAGCTTGGGCCTACCCCATTACCAGAAACAGTGGATGATGATCGTTAGCAAAGGCCTTGTTCAAAAAAATAGTGTTAATTGTTCGCGGACTGTTACAGTTACAGGTAATAGGACAGACCCAACATATAGGTCTCAAGAGTTCAGCTGCGCGATTTCGTGCTGCTCAGTGGCTGGAGAGGTCATCCCAGTCTTTAAGTGAGTGGATGCTCTCTTCGGTTTGTAGCCTTTCTTCTTGTCTCGCTGTTCAAAGCCTCAGGCCACAAACTTCGCAACCCAGTCAACATGCAAAAGCTGCAAACGGATTCCAAAGACCATCAAGTTCTACAGTATGATGTCTATGGGTGCGAGGGGGGCCACAACCACACAAAAGCACGCTTTTGTATGTGTGGCGTGTACCACACAAAAAGCTGAGTCACCCATTGCGGTTTTGACATTCCAGGCATTGCGGCCACCTAATTGCTCGTCAACCTCATCCTTCCAAATGGCCGCAAATCCTGAGCTTCAGGCACCCTAGGGTGTACAAGGCATTTGTGCCGAGGGAAGCTCAAGACATGTCCGATTCCAAGACATGTCTATGCTCCTTCTAGGCCAAGCCTGAAGTGAACAGAAGCCAAACCAGGCACATCATGACATGATGAATCATCACACATTTGACAATCCCACTTATCATATTACTACTTTGGAAACTCTGGCTAGGGAACTCCCAGTATCCAAGCAGAAAGAAAACAAACTGCGCTTACTGTGCTTGGAGTTTAGCGTCATGGATGCCCAGTCCCACATTCCTACTTATACTTCCCACCGTAAATGTCCTGTGTCTCACAAACCGACTACTGTAGCTCAATCCATTCAATTTGTCAAACGAGTTGAAGGAAAGTATAGACCGGTCACTGGTCTTAAGACAAGGCAAGCAACGTCGCACGTCCTCGCCACATTCCTCTTCCTTTTGCACCTTTGGCATTGAAACTAAAGATTGGCACAAGCGCAAGTCAACTGGCAAATGGCGAGTGCAAGCTTGCAAACGTGACAATTTCACGAAACCCACCACAGCTATCATGCTTTATGCGGCTGCGGCACGGTTGGCACCTTTTGAAGAGTGGACTCGCTGGCTACTTTCTGAACAACCTCTCAGGATGCTTTCATGCACGTTTGGTTTTTATGCCTGGGCTTAGTGACTTCCAAGCCAGGGCGTGGTTCCAAGAGCATGGGTTTCAAAGCCTGGCCTCTTCAACGTCCGAGTCAAAGGCAACTGGGAGTGCCTGTGCGGCAAAGGTTTCCAAAGGTTTGAAACCACACTTTCGTTCGTTGTTCTCGCTGAGTTGAAACTGAAAGCTACATCGATTGTTCTCACATTCAATTTTTCTCGATACATGCAAAGGATAAAGGGCGACGGGTTTCTCTTGAAATCGGCGGGGGTCACCCTTGCCACTGTTAGACATAATCGGTGCCTCGGAGGTTTCACCCAAGTTTTGGAGCACATCAGCTGTCTTGCTCGGCTCTAACCTTGGGGCTTCCGCAAGGTGTGTTTTTAATTGTTTTTTATTGGTTGCGATGCTTGGACTGGTGAGTGAAATCTGGGGAGACACAAAGTCATGAGGAAAGACGTTCAAAAGGCATTGTGCTTGAGCAAACCATCGTACCGACCGTCCAAGCCTTGGCTTTTCTGTCGGTCGGTTTCTCAGCTTTCGACTCTGGCTTGGCGTCACCATCCAGGGTGCAAAAGTTGCAACAGTTGCGATGAACCGTTGGCTCCTCCCTGACCTGCTCAAGGTGTCCAATGCTCAGGCACAAATCCAAGGGCAAATGGCCGCTGTGATGAGTACGGAGCCTGGCCTTACTTCCTTGGGCACTTAGGTGGCGCTTCACTTCTGAGACCTGCCACACAAAGTAATAGGTCGGAAAGGAGCACTGAAATTAACACATGACACTCCAAAGCACATAAGAATACAATAGTACAGGGATGTGCGGGGGACTGATATACAACAATCAAAACATAAATTGCAACCTTATTGAACTAAATCTAATGCAAACATTACTATATGGAGAGGCATGCAAACATAACATGGTGTTGATCAATATTCTTTATCGAACGGCCATTCATTGCGGACCAAAAGATCCTTCGTGGATCTCTCGTGGCGTCATCGCACAGTGTGGTCTTAAAGTACAGCGTTCTAAGTTAACATGTGGACGTTTTTACATCAACAAATAGTGGTTGGCATTTCGCAGCATGACCTACAAGGTTGAGGGTTGTTACAGCTACCCAGGGTCACTTGCAGCATGTGCGGACAAACCTGGAGGAATGTTCTGGAGGAGCCTTAAAATAGAGTCGGGCACAACTCAATCCAACTCTCGTGCCAGCTGCCAACACAGGCTAATGCAGCTCGAGGAATCGGCGGGCCTCAAATTTGGAACCGGACATTGGGGCATATCGGGGCTTCAGTCATTAGTCTGTGGGGATGCTTCCGCCCACCGGCTCTGCCGGAGGATTGCCTTTAGACAGGAACTAACATGAACATGAAGACGATATATCTTTCGCAACAATACTTTCGCTGACCTCATCGCGGATGCTTGGACAGCATCCAAAAGGTCGTTTTATATACAGCCCCCTTACATCTTTGGATCAACTCTGACATATCTATGCAAGTCATTTTGCCCACGTATATAAATATTTAGCATCTTATGGTGATTAGATGTGATTAGCATCTGCCGGTATATAGTGCTTGAGGGTTCAAAGCCTTCAAGCGCATGAGCCCAGCATTGGGATTGGCACCCCTGCTGAGCTGAACTGTTGCTGCATCTTCTAAGATCTTCTAAGCAGTGTTGCGCGTGTGTCTCTAACAATTGCCGCATATGCTCTTTTGGAGCCAGGATGTAAACAGTGGACAGTGGACGCTGGGTGTCCCTTTTTGAGATTCTGAGACATGCATGCCTTTAGTTTACTACATTATACTACATTAGGCTTTGCAAGAGGAATCGGTTCTGAAAGAACTACGATCGGAAGGGCTCTTGAGGCGCGAAAGGCTTCATGTTGACTGTCCATTCTACCGCTATGGCGAGCCCAAGCGGCTCAACAAAAGATTGAACATGATTCAAAGAAACGAGTCCCACTTCAACCAACGATACACATGTCTTGGACAAAGCATTCCTGTGACCTCCCTAGCTGCAACCCAGGCTGTGGCAGGCCTCTTGAGCAACTTTGTCAATCAAGCCTTGGCAACCCATTGAACAGTCCGCAACAAGCATGTGGCACTTTGAGAGACTTTTGGGGTGACTGGATCAAGTGCTTCCAAGACATCCAACACTCTCTTCTGGTCTCACCAAACTTGGCAAATGCAATCAGGCTCGACCAAGTAGCGGCTTTGCAGCGTGATCACATGGCGCACCTGGTGGGTTGACTGCTTGATGAACTGAATGCTTAACAAATACCGTTCGTCAACCTACTGGCGAACACAGTACTGTCAACTGTCAAAAGGCTCCACCTCTTCGTGCCCCTTCTCGATGGCAGCTTGGAGGGCATCTAAGCCCTCCATGGGGCTATGCTTGGAGGGCCCAAGCCAAATCTGCTGTCTTGCTGTTGCTTTAATCATTGTATAGTTCAGTTCAATGTGATTGAAAAGCTGCTCTTTTCCATTTTGATCAACTAGTGGCACTTTGAAACATCAGCTCGCGTCTTCAGTCTTGCGATCCTATGTCATCCTGCTGCTGGTGCGCATGCTTGTTCGCAAGAGGCAACACAAAGCCGTGGTTTACGAACTGAAACGCAGTGTCAGGGGAGTCGCAGTGAAAAGGAGCAGTTTCTGAAATGCCTGAAACGATCTGAAATGCATTCCTGACCGAATGTATCATGACTTGAATGCCACTCTCGTGATGCCACATTGACCGCCTGCAAAGCCATGGCTTCTGCACGGTCACCTTTACACCGCATCCCAGCCTCACGCCTGGCGGAAGTTTTCTGCTGAAGCGCAAAGAAGCAATCCACAAACTCCGGACGCGTGACACGGAGGATGCCAACATGCTGGGCCCGGCCCGCGCAAAAGAGCGGTGCGGCCCTTGTTCAAGGCTAGCAAGCAATCCGACACCTGTCAAGCATTTCCGGTGGTTAAACATGCAAGCCGCCATGTGGACCCAGGGTCCAGCAGAAGCCGCTGGCTACGGCCACATATTAAGCAAACTGTACTAAGCTTCACCTCCAGCCTTGATGAACCTTCAGATTCATGTTTACAGTTTACTAAACTCCAAGCCTTGATCAAAGCGGCCACCTCCTCCACCTGCAAAGTTTTGAGGCAGGCTCGAGATATGGCGAGGGTTTGCGTGCTTTCCGCTGCCAGTCTTGGCATGTCTTGGCGCCTTCGAAGTGCCCAAGACTTTGAGCAGCACCATGCCCTGCTCTGCAGCACATAAAGCCTCAGCGTCACCAGATGTTGCCACTTGCTCACAGACTGGACGTTGGCGCATGTAAGCAAAGCAACGAAGCTGAACCCAGGTTTGCTCTTTTTGTGGCAGAACTGCGGCGCAGCCAGCTTTCTGAAGTTCTTTGCATCAGCCCAGCATCAATCGGATGAACTGCTCTAATTCGCCGCCAGCTCAAATGGACATATTCGCGCATCATGCAGCAAAGCGGCCAGGGCGTCCAGCACAAGACCTGAATGGGCTAGCAAACTCTTAAGGAGGCAGCTGGATGCAACTGAAGGTCTAGGCCTAGGCTTTAGATGGCCGACAGATGTGGAGACTAGCCCAATGTGCACAAAAGAAGCGCAAAACATGGGTGGCTTGAGCCAGGGAGGCGGGACAGGAAAAACTGAACATGATGCTTGATACGACTTGGTACCGGAAAGGTTGTTGATTTGCCCGTCATCGGACTTCCCATCTCGGCGTGAATCTTCTCACAACCCACTGACACTGTGCCTGCTTTCATAGTGACAATCAGGGTGCTGATGATTTCAAGATGGTTCTGCAGGCCTTACGAAGCCTTTCAGTAGAGCTTAAACGTGTTGACTTTTTTTAAGACTTGCCCACTTCGATGTGAATGTTGAAAAATGTTGAAAGAAATCCAATGCAAAGACCTCGTGTCCAGCCTATTGTGTTTTTGCGAGTGTTCACACACCCAGTGGCCCAGCCCGAATCAGTTAGAAAGCCGTCCTTGCCTGCGACGTCTGACCACTCTCGGCTGTGGTTCGGCTAAGGCTTAGAAGCAGCTCCAACGTAATCACATAAGGTACGGGCGGTGCAGTATTGGAGGCATCCACACAGCATACCAGCCCCTCAAGTCCTGTATGTCCTTTTTCATCCAGTATCTGCCCAGAAGCTGGTGGCCCAGTCCTCCGAAGCAAAGGGGAGCAGTGTGATATGTGGTCAAAGTGCTCAAGCTAGGATAGCTAGGCACCTGTGATGTGGAACATTTTACAAGCACATGGACCATGGAGCTATAAACCTGTGGGCCTATGGACAAAGTTGCACTTCTTGTGTTCTTGTGTGCACAAATGCTCCACCGCCAAGAAAACAATGCGGGCTCTGCCGAGATCACGTTGAGGTTTTCGCTCCGTTGGTGCTGTGTTTTGTCTCTGCACTGCTGGTTCCCTGCAGTGTCACAGCGCACAGCAAAAGAGCACAAAGGCGCGGCCATGATAACCATAACTGAATCAACTGAATGAGCCCCAAACTGCACGTTCACACAACAATGCCCATTTCATTGACTGCATCTGTTATATATAGATCGGCAACAAAGAAACCCCCGGCACACACCTGGCAGTTCCTAGCGCTACCTTGGTTAGTTGCTCGGCTCTCTCGCGTGCCGCCTTTAACACGACCCTAGCAAAACAGACTGGACAACTTGAATTATCAACCCAGCTCTACTAAACAACAAGGTGCACACGATGTTTGTCACCTCGTCATGTGAATGTGAGGCGCCAAGAAGTTTTACTAAATGTTTGCTCTTGGAAGCTAGTGTAGTAGTGGCGGGCCCTCCCACCAACTTAAATGTTCGTTCTCCAGTATTGCAAAATGGTCTCTGAAGCGGCCCAGCGCTTCTCCTTGATATTGCGCCACAAGGGATGATGCCTCGGGGTCCTCCTCTCAATGATGCGTTCCGTTCAAATGCAAGAACTGCATGAGAAAGAATAAACAAACAAATTGCCTAAAGGGCACGAATAAACACACTATAAGGAAGCTACTAGGAACAAGTGCATCGCTCCTAGTAACAAGTGCCTTACTAGTAGTAACAAGAAGCTACTAGGAAACAATAATTAGTAATTAGACTTACAACTTCACTCGCCGAGCTTGAACTCCATAACTCCATGACGTTCTCCTGCTGCCATCGTGCCAACTGTTCGTAAGCCTCCGCCAGGGCCAACTGGAGCTCCGCGATTTGCATGGGAGCCTCCCACACGGATCATCCGATGCATTCCACTCACTGTTCAGAGGGCGAACGTCTGTCTAGTCCATGAACCGACGGGGATCTACAGTCTGTCCGTCTGTCAGCAGCCTCGACTTCACTTGATTCATAGTCCTTAGGCATGAAGATCTCCGAGCCAAACACAAGCACCACATCCAACTCAATATATAGTGGGTCTATCCTAATACCTGTAATAGTGGGGTATGATGGTTAGTAAAGGCCTTGTTTTAAAAGATATATACTTACAATTGTTTCCGGACTGCTACAGGTAATGGGACGGACCCGATCAATATATATTATATATGTATATACACGATTATACACGATGATATATGTCGCCATTGCCACATAAGTCCTATGTGAGTTTGATGTTTTTTTGACTTTGCACTGTTCTTTTGTACAATGTGTCAACTTCTGCTTTTGCCCTGCAAGCGTCGGTCGCACTGGTAGGTTCACTCTGATCTTTGCCACCACTCTCTCGCTTGCTCAACTCTTCAAGCTCACGTCTCAAAGCATCCTCAGTGCCAGAGGACTTTGCTCACTCAAACCGCTCAATCAAGCAAAACCAACCAAAATGGCAATCCACAAAATGGCATCGAGCTGCATTGTGGTCGGAAAGGTCTTGAAGCATCAAACGTAGCCGAACTTCCTGCAGTGACTTGTGGCTTCATCTTTCGTGATCTTTCGTGCGGTTTTGTGCGCCGTGCCCTCGCACTCCTCTTCTGCACCTCTGTCATCAGTCGCCTTCGTGGAATCCTGCCACTCGAACTTCAAACAGCCCCAGCAAGAATCTGCTTTGTTGAGTCGATTTAATTTATATATTTATGTTCTGCTCTCAGCTGTCTCAATTTTCGCACGAAAGCCAGAGGTTCCTCGCTCAGCAGCTTCGGCAGGATGGATTCTAGAAAGACCTGACTTCAATGAAGTGTGAGCTGGTGGTCACATAAAGAAAAATAAGCGATAACGGTATGGTCTTGAGGCTTTGGCAATGTGCCAGACAACCACGCAACTGACCAACGACCGCACCTTCAACCTGTACCGCCTTCCTGCTTTATGGTAAAGATGGTAAAGCATATATATTACATATTATATAGATATATGATATGATTATATATACATGTTTAGAGAGGGAGAGAGAGATTCACAGGTTGCCTCATCAGATCTCATGTCGACACTATGCCGTTTCTCTGAGCTTTCTGACGCTCGAGGTTTCCGATGGCCCCACAGGAATCGTAGGCATCTCGTTTGTGCCCTTGAGCCTCAGATCAGGCAACATGTGCCAAGGCCTTTGTCACCATTCAGCGGTGACTCAAAGGGAAAGCACCACGACCGCACCACGCAGAAAGCCGAACCACATGACCATCCGACCACTCCGACCGCATGTGACCGCCGTGGCACAGGGCCACTTCACAGCTTTGAAGGACTGCAGCGAGATCCTGACATCGAGCTCCAGCGGCCCCCTCATACGCGCCTGAATGCCATCGACCGAAGGGCCAATTCTTGGAAGTGGAAGTCATCGAACACGGACGGACATGGATACTGAGAAAACGGTTTTCTACGTCCACCTGATGTTTCAGAGTGGCGAGTTCGCCTGAGCGGTGCGGCTGCGACGCAACCCTAAGTTTGACACATGCTTTGGCTGCGAAGGACATCAGCGTGCGAATGCGCCTCAAGGCCTTGGAGTAACCGTTTTCCAGACCAACGAGCCGAAAAGCTCCAATGAGACCGCGTCTTCACAACACAGGCAGATATGACGTGTGGCATGCGCAAACCCATGGCAACCTGTTCAAGATCTTTCCAACATCAAAATAAATCAATGCATATCAATGCTATATTTAAGTTTGTAGTGGGCCCCACTCCATCTCTCTCTCTCTATCTCTCTGGGCTTGGCGGTCTCGCCAGTAGGCATCTGATGGCCTCTGTACATATGCGCGAGTGTACGTTCAACTGTTAAACTACTTGAGGCGAGGATCCAGCTGCGCCTGAGACCATTGCTCGTCAAGCTCCTGCAGGTCGCTACAAATTGTTGTTATCGTGTGCTTTCAACGCTTGAGGTGAGGCATCCAACGCTTTCCGTAGTATTGCACCGAGACCGCTGAATACCGGCTTGCATACAGAACCATCTGGCATACAGAATGCTGATGAATGCTGCATGGGCTCCAACATGTACATGTGCGTGTGACTGGAACTTGCCAGCCTGGCGGAGCCGACGCCTTGCCACCAAGTAATGTTGGGCGCGCCCTGCTTTGGCGGTCCAGGCACTTGCATCCCAACCAAATGGCCTCGACAGCTTGGACGCTTTGGACTCCCGATACTCGCGACATGGTTTTGACGCTCTGAACTTCGGAGGCGCATGTTCCAACTTGAACGAAGCGGCGCATCTGGCAAAGCCGTCAGTCGTGTCAGCTGCTGCAGGTAGAAATCCGATCTGTCTAATGCCTTGGATCACCAGTGACGAACAGCAGAACATCTTTTGCATGCAATATGATGCAATGTATTGTTTTCAAATCTGCACTCTGGCAATGACACAATTCTGAAATCTGCCTGCCATCTAAAAATAGAAACGCAACTAACCAAAGTAATGACAAAATGCACGTTAACACGTTTGCCGTATACATAGAATATGTTTACACACCTTCAGTTTAGAAATGTTATACATCCGTAAATGCGTGTGTACCCCTACCGTGTATATATAAATATATATGCACATATTTCTGCCGCACTCTGTAGCCTTTGGTTTTCAGTTGCAAGATGCAAATATCAGATCTGCCTCAGATGCGTCTTTGGCATTGGCAGTTTGCAAGGCCTCTGCCAGTAGCTGACGTCCTTAAGTCAAGGGAAGGACGGAACTCTTGATGATCGTTCATGACTTGTAGTAAAAATGAGTATGTGCTTCGGTCTTCGGCAGCTGCAAGCACACTTCTGCAAAAGCTCAAGATTTAGCGACTGCCAAGTTTCGCTGCTGCCTACGCAAGTGCAAGCAAGTCCTCGCGAGAGGGACCATGAAGACAACTCGAACACACACACACAAATCCAAATCTCCTAAACAGCTGCGCTTCACGCAATGCTTGGCAGTGAGGGGAGCCTTCCTGCAGACTGTGGCAAATAATGCCATCAACAAAGACGGTCACATCTGTCACCAGTATCATAAGGGAGCAAACATTGCTTGACAGCAACGCTTGAGACAACGCTGGCAAAACAAGGATTGTAAGGCATCAATCAAAACAAACAAAACATTGACTGTCGAACATGGATGGCGCACATCTTTCTGCCAAGTTTCCTTCGTCATGGCGTGGGCAGGATGCGCGTCATGTTGTACGCGTGAAGTTATATAAGTCTCGTGACATAGGTCTCATCTACGCAAATAACAGCCCTCAACTTCCGATTGTTTATGATTATTTATATATTAGAGCTACAAAATCTTTTTGTTTTATGTCGACGTTGCCTACATTGTTGTAACTAGCGTGCACTAGCCCGACACTATGAAGAGTGGCTGCGGCCTATAATCTGATCCTTTAAGAGCTTCAACTGCTCAAACCTTTGCCAAACTGCATCGACCATGCAACCAAACGCTCTCCTGTCGCTCAAAAAGGACGCGACGGCCTTGTGTCTGCCAACATTCAGGAGGAGCTCCTTGAGCGAACTGAAGATAACTGAAGCCACCCAGCCACGGTTTGGAGCTACAAGCATGGCCAAGCGGCAGCTGTTGAGTGCAGTGGGGCATGCGGAATTGATCATTAAGGCTGCTGCAGACAAGGCAATGAATTCATCTGCTTCCAGCCTGCATGGGAACGCATCGAAAACAGCCTTTGCCATCGTCGAAAACAGCCTGGCCTCCTAGCATCCTGTTCGCGGAAAATCTCAATGGCAGCCTGGTACCGCGGAAAGGATGTTGCAACAACAGTAGGACTGAGCAGTTGATGGCAGTTAAACACTCCAGCAAGGGCTGCACACTGAACAAATCATCCGCCGAAACGAGCTTTTCTGGAAAGTCGACGCGGCATCCTGGCCTGGACCGCTTGCTCGCCAGCTGCCACCTTGCCCCCAGCCTCGCCCAAAAAAAAGGACAACGAAGTCACGTAGATACTACATCCATGTGGCGCATTCATTGGACTAAATTACACCCTTGGGGTGAAGCTTTCGCGGGGAAGTCACATCTAAGGCCCAACGCCCTACGCCCTAGGCGCTGCTTTATGATGATATCAAATCATAACAAATCTGCAACAAACATTGACATAGACCTAGGCGTGGCACCAGGGAACAGCGTCCTCCATCTCGAAGTGCTTTGGCCTTGTTTAGGCTGTCCCCCAATTCCTCGTGTGGTGCACAAGGCAACTCAACATCTCAGCCCTGTAAATGCCTTTTGCTTTCAATGTGCCGGGTCAGGATGTCATGTAGTGCATGCGACATTATGGCTTTCATTCAAAAACTCTCAGTGGGGCACACCTCTTTTCTCTCATGATCAAGTTATCTGCAGAAATTGATGGACTAGGGCCAGGGCTACATCCTCAGTACACAAAGCAAAGTCGCAGTCGCAGTTGGCATTGAAGCTCTTTGATCTCTTTGGATAAATCAATGTCTTGATAGTGTGCAAATGTGTGCATCCTACATCAGCCTGGATGCCGCAATAAATAGTGAGGCGCATGATGCAATCGTGATCAGTGAGTCCTTCAAACACGGACCTCCACTCCACTCCACACAATTCAGGCCCGCATCCAAGATCTCCATAGACCATGCCGGGCTCTCCAGAGTGCAAGGACAAGAAAAAATCTACTTGTCAAATCAGCATTGCTCTTTCACAACTGCAGGATGACGGTCTCCTTCTGTTTCTCAGCAGCTTAAGGAGCTTCGTCTGAGAGCTTCCCAATCCAGGGGTGCAAGCGCCTCAATCTTGGTTGAATCCAAGGATTGAATGGTGACACAGCAGTCAAGTGTTCCGGACCACCTACACCACCGGCTATTCTTTCAGTGGCCGCACTATCGCACAATGCCCTTACTTTGGGTTTTGCCTATGCTTTGTTCATCACATTTTTAAGGCTGTGTGCTTTTTGGGGCTACATGCACCAGCGGCTTACATGTACGTGGCATTGAATATGCTCACACGCGTGGCGCCCGCCTCGGCTCGTGGCTGGAAGGAGGGTGGAAGCGGGGCATCAAATGCCGAAGCTGACGGAAGGAGGGTGGCGGCTGCCAAATTCGAGCGGCCGGAGACGTTGGATCAGGTCTGCCAGTCATAGCAGCGCGGCCGGCTTCCACGATTTGCTCCGCCTGCACAAGTCACGGAGAAAACAAGGACAGCCGTGAGCAACATAGAATGGGTGCACTTTTAATTGTGTATTTTTTCATTTTTTGGATTTGTTCAAAAACATTGGAATAGAGCAGGTTTCTTATTAGCACCCAGCTAATTACAGCAATTTCGTGTCCTTAGCAGAGACAAAGGTGTCGTAGCTGGCCAAATACCTTGGAATAGTGCAGGTTTCATATTAATTGCTAGCTGATTAAGACTAACTTGGGAGCTGTCGTAGCTAGCAAAATACATTGGAATAGTGTAGGTGTCAGAGAAAATCCTACCTATCAATACCTATCACAACATTTTGGTGCAGTTGGCAGAGACACAGTAAAGAGAAAGATAACTAACACAGGAGGCATATATGGTTGGGTAGAATTTTTGCCCCGGGGAGTTTACCTTAAAATAGTGATTTCGTGGCAGGCGCGGGTGTCGGATGAAGTGGCTTGGGGGGGGCGCAGCGCCCTCCCCCAGCAGCACACCAGATCCAAAGGTTAGAAAGCAAACAAATGGAAAAGCAAAAACAAAAAGAGAAAGGAGAACAGCTGCCAAAGCAGAAAAGCAAAAAAAAGCAGCATAAGCAGAAAAGCAGCAAAAGCAGAAAAGCAACAAAAGCACAAAAGCAGCAGAAGCAGAAAAGCAACAAAAGCAGAAAAGCAGCAAAAGCAGAATCCGGAAAAAAACACACACACATAAACATCCCAAATAAAAACGAAAAAAAACTGAATAAAACGCCCCTCCACGTAGAATTGAAGTCTTGGAGGAACATGTTTATGAATGTGGCAGTGGCAAAAGCTGATACTGTTGCAGGCAGGAAACCAAAAACAATTCCAAATTTGCCGAAATGAACAGCAGCCAAGGGAAGTGCAAAACTGCAATCCACAATTCGGTCAAAGAACGTGCAACCGGAGTCCAGGCTTTCATCGAGCGGGCTTAGTTGGAATTGCCAAAGAAAAATGCGTGTGAGATAAGCTCAGAGACGACAGTTGGGGATAGCTTAATACAGTAGAATTACTGCAAAAGTAGGTAAGGCAAAATGAGGTGATCTCAGATGAGATCCGACAAACAATGAAGCGATTCCCGTTCCCTTCAGGTTTTCTTCTGTCCTTTCCGCCTGGCGGTCCAGAATGCGCTGGGTTTCTCTCGCTGCCTCCACTTGTAGCAAGGCTTGCATGGCGTGGCTTGCTTGAAGTCTCTGCGCCACTTCACGCTCCTGAGCACCGTGAAAAACCAAGGCAAACAACGTCGCAGTGATATTGAACTCCCCTGCCTTTTGCGTGCTGGGATGAAGAATAAACTACACCACCCTATACCTTAAAACCCCTAAGATTTTAGATCCAACATGATCTGCCTGCATTCTCACACCTACAGTCCTTCTTGTTGCATTTTTGTGCTCAAACGACGATGAGGGCAGCGACAACGACGACCGATACTGTACGGTAAACATTTGGGGTCCGTTCGCATTCCATCAAGTCTTTATTCCATCAAGTCTTTATTCCATCAAGTCTTTTGCACACCTTGCAGACGTGCATTTCATGCCGGCAGAGTTTATAGTTTAAATAAGAACATGGACGGACTACAAACTGATTTCCCGGACACCACCAATGTCCGACATGTTGCTGCATGTGTAAATATGGTTCGCACATTTTTGAACACCTCCGCTGGGATGACAATGTGTCAACTGTGTCAACTGATTCTGCCGTGAAGTGAGCAAAGGAAACAGTACGGCAACAAATCATGAATGACATAATAATGTTAAAAGGGGCCGCGCGACCATTCCTTGTATGCACATTCTTTGTCATTGTGTTTTGCTTTGCTGCCTTGCTGGCCACCTCCGACCTGTAGAAGACCACATGGTTGGCGACAATCCTATATAGCCCCACATCTTTTGCGCTAAGCAGAAGTTTGCCGCACGCCTTAAAACACCGTAGTCGTTTGTGGCGATTCTAAGGTTTCACATGGTCATGGATGAACCGCCGCCCAAGGATCTTTGTTCCTGGCTTCCTCTTCAGCCCGCTCTCTTTCAGCCCGCTCGCTTTCAGCCCGCTCGCTTTCAGCCCGCTGCCTTTCAGCCCGCTCTCTTTCAGCTCTTTCATTGGCTTCCTGTGCTTCTGTAGCTTCACGTGCTGCCAAGAATGCCTCCAATCTGTCTAATTCCTCCTGGTCGTTGAAACTCTCCAAATCCCTCCGTGACGTCGCCTCGTTCCCGACTTCGCCTTTCGGAGATTGGGACGCTCTGCGCCGCTTCGCACGTGGCTTCTGCGTGTCCTCGGGATTCACCAAGCGCTTGATGAGTTGTTTTCGTGTGCCGCCATCCTTGAGACCGGCTTCTTGGCACAAATCACGCAGTTCCTGAACCTCCAGTTGTTTCAAAATCCACAGGTCGATCGCACGGTCCGTGCTCTCACTGTCAGTCGCCTCTTTCTCAGTGTCCTCTCCACCCTCCACTTCTGGGCGTGGGTCTCTTTTGAGATCTATGATGTTGCCGTTGACAACTGTCTCCATTGGCTTCACGTTGCTTCCCAAACCCAATTGTGCAGCGAAGGTGCTGGAGACATCCATTGCAGAAATGTAAGATGTTCCACCTTGTTTTCTCAACTGGATGCGCCAGCCTGGAGGATAGTATTGAACCTGGCCATGAACTGGCACCTTTTTCTCCACTGGCTTGGGACCCGAAAGATTCTTCACCACCAGTGATGGAAAACGAGCTTGCAAGTTCTTCACAGCTGCCGACTCTGCAGATTCCCGTGGGTGCCGAAACACCTCCGAGGGCCAGTCATTCAAGCCCGAGCAGGAAATGCTATGGGGATTTGTCTGGACTTATGGATGCTTATGGGGCGTGGGTGACGTGATGGGGGACAAGACCTGTCAGCCTTGAAAGATTAAAAGAATCATAGGAGCAAGGACGCTACTAGGGGCTCCTGGCCTTACTACCTGGAACAAGAAGCTGCTAGGGGCTCCTAGAACATTTGTGTCGCCCAACGCTGGCCTTCCCTTTCGCAGTTTCTTCGAGGATGTAGTCCGTGAAAGCGGAGTCACAACCGCCCCGAGCCTTGTTTTCAGACTTGACACTCAGGTAGTCACACCTCAAACAATGCATCCCCCGGCTGTAGAAGTGCAAGACCCTCTCATAGTCCTCCATCACTGGCAACGTCAACAAAAGGTCACCAGGATTGTAATAGCCCTGCATCTGTCCAGTGCTTTTTGCAAGTCCCACGGTATAGGTTCTGGACAAAAAAATACGTGTTTGGCAATGGGTACACGCCCCACAGCTTGCAATTTTCCCTGTCTGCGACTTCCCAAATGTGGTCGACTATCCCCTCAAGATTTTTGTGCGGCACGTCAACCACCGTGGCATCTGTGTCACTTCTGACAGATCCAGTAGATGTCACAAGAGCTTTGATGTCGTCATCCATCTCTACAATCCGGTCGCCGGGCTTAAAATGTTGCATGATTGCATTCCTTTGGTTGCAAATTCCCCGCCGGCCTTTCACCACATTGATACCCAGGCTCTTTAGCCCTTCTTTGTACTGCTCGTACTGACCAGGGTCAGCAAAAACATAGATGCGCGCGGGTGATATGCCTGAAGTCAATAGCAAACGCAAAGTCTGGTTTTGAATTGCTTTCAGCCGGTCAAACGAAGGAATCGCCACCACCCATGGAGCCATGACTCCCAGACGAACGCATGTCCCTATGCAAGCAACGATGCATGTGTGTGTGTGGCCTCCACACCTTTGAAGAGAATGTCCAAGTCCAACCATGTATTTTTATCGTGCGTGCGGCAACATCTGATTGCACCAGAACCGAATAGCATCAAATAACATATAATAATATATACAATACCTGTTTGATTGATGGGACCGCAGCAAAGCTACGAATGGGATCGTTGACTGAAACACATTAAAAATCAAACATGCTGAGGGTCTGCTCTGAACACACCAACAAGGTTAGACTTTGCCTAGTTTGCTTCTTTCAGTGTCTGCCTGCTGGAAGATGAGCCACAGGAAGTCCACGATATAATACAACGGTCTAGCTGCAAAAAGAATTGAGACAAACACTGCCAAACAAACACCAATCAAGAAAGCTCCCTGCAGGAAGGCAGCTAAATCTGGCCTCAAAGACCTTCAGAGCAGCGTCCGCGGCCGACTTCGCCTCGACAAGGGCCGGCTTCCTGGGCGGTGTGGGCATTCAGTTCTCCAAGTGTGCTTTTTTGACTGAGATCTTAACCATGGGTTGCCAAAGGAAGCATGTTAATATGATAGCCCATCTGGGCAATCAGGTTGGTTACATCACTGATCTGAGCGGTGTTGCATCATGTACGTCTCGCTCATCGCCAGGAGGGCTAGACCCTCCAGCCTCGGCGCTCTGCGACTTCTTGCTGAGACTTTGGAAGACACTACATATGATGAGGAAATACATCACTATATATGGAATTGTATATTCATTATATATGTAATTATATATTCAAGGCTTCGGTGAGTGGTTTGAAATATGTAGTATCTTCTTCTAATGGTTGATTGAATCCTTCTTCGGAGGCTTTGGAAGACACCGCTGAGGTCTCCAAACTTCTTATCACCAGGACTAGCATCACGCAGCATGTGGAGGGCCTGGCAAAATGTTCAAATGTGTGGAAAGGGACATGTTGGTGTGAAGAAAAAATCTGATATGGCAGGAGAGTCGGACATTGATTCTCGGTGGCCAGCCATGTATATATGTCCATCAAGCGGACCCAAATGGCAAACAGAATCACGTTTTGCATCTATGGCGCATTGTCATTGCAAACTCTGACCCTAATTCCGACTCTTGTGGTCGAGTTTAACCCTGAGTCGGCATGCTTATTCCATGCATTTGCATTTGTCCGGTAGGCAATCCAACCGATTGCACAGGCGCATGGTTTGTCTGCACCTGCACGCCGTTCTGTGCAAAGAGCTGCATCTGCTGTGTGTACATGTACTGCACGTGCTGCGCCCGTCGCTGCTGCTCCGGACCATAATAGACTGATAAATTGAGTCTCGACAACAAGACTTTGGCCAAAGTGCTCGCTGAGTCGGCCGTTCCAATGCCTGAAAGGTGCACCTTGAAAGGGTGGAATATGGTGGAATGGAACAGGCCACGTCTGTGTGGGTTTGGAGACTTGAGAGTGGCAACAAAAAGAATGACCAGCAATGTTGGTGAGAAGATGCTAAAAAGTTACGCATGTATGTATATATATATATAAATTCCTAGAGTGTTAGGATCCTATCCTGTGAAGTACGCTCCGCACTTTTTCGTCAGACCTAGTCGGGTCCGAAGCTTGTATGTCGTACAGGCTATTTGCGTTGGGTAGGTAGGATCGCTTCCTCACCGGTTGGCTCCTTGTCAGGTCACACCTGGCTGGGCTTCATCTGGTCACCCCAGATATCACCCGCCCCACTCCTAACTCAGGAGGGGGCAATGCCCAGAACGCCGGGTAGGAGTCAACCGCGTGCACTACTACACGCGGACCCCGGATGACGAAGCATCCTTCAAGATTAGGGAACACCTCACCGAGGGTCTCTAATCAGGGTGGGTCAAACTTTGAAAAATTTGAGGGAGGGAGAAAACACAGAACCTGCCAGTTTGGATCAGACTTGAGCCAAAATGGTGTCAGGTTCTGAACTTTCTAAGGAATGACTACTGTCCACCCAAGCCTGCCAGACCTAAGACAGTCATACATTCCTAGAGTGTTAGGATCCTATCCTGTGAAGTACGCTCCGCACTTTTTCGTCAGACCTGTCCGAAGCTTGTATGTCGTACAGGCTGTTTGCTTTGGGTAGGTAAGGATCGCTTCCTTACCGGTTGGCTCCTTGTCAGGTCACACCTGGCTGGGTCACCCCAGATATCACCCAAAGCACTTTAAAATCCCCAACGCACTTACAAGTATTCGGCAACGCGAACGAGGCCGGCAACGGGCAGTTGCCAAAGGATGAACTGGAAAAATGCCTCGGATTGGGTAAACCCGTGCTTCACGTGCCAGGGGTCTTGGAATCCCAAACGGCTGATGGCGTCAGCCCAATTACTTTTTGAAGGGATCCATTCGAAAAACATCCAGCACTGGAGACCAAAGAGCAGCACATGCACAATCTGTGACGTGCGCTCGAGGTCCTCGGCGTCCGATCTGCCTCGGATCGGTGCCATTAGCGCCGCACTGTTGTCCAGGAACCAGACGCCTCGCCGGCCCCTGAACCGGTCTGGCCTGGTGGTCAGTGCAAAAATGAGCTGAATCAGTTCAAGTTGCGCAATCTTTCGTTCACCTGGAGTAAACAAACTGTACAACGACCGGGGCATGTGGGAGACGAAAGCTTCTCGACACTCTTCAACACCATTGAACCACACGATAAGGAAGCCACCAGTTCCTTCGAAGGGGGTTTCAAGGGCTGCATCTGAGGCCACCACAAACCTTGCAGGCACAGAGGGATGGATCACTTCCATCACCCTGGCGGGCCGAAGCTCGAGCACGGCTCGGATCAGGTACAAGCTGTCCTTCAGTGCTGGGGAAAGGTGGCGGTCGGTTTCATGCTGCCTCGCCTTGATGGCTTGTAGGCCGCTACACCCCACACGACCGTAGATGCCCTGTTCCAAAAAGGCCATTACGCCGTAAATTTTACTCGCCGTGCCTGAACTCAGCGTTGCGCTGCTGAGCGCATCTTGCAGAAATGCTTCCATTTTGGCGATCAAACGTTCCCTTGGCCAAAAGCGAACAATACCAGCACTGACTTCACGTAAATCGTGCTGTAATCCAAGGAAAAGGCCACTGTCTGTCATGGCCTGTCGTTTCTCTTCTGCGAATGGAGTGCCGATGAGTGTGTTCAGTTGGTTGAACGCTGCCTGGCCTGAGCCTTTTGAGGACTTCCAGTCGATGATGTTTGCATCGTCGAAGTACAGGGACGTCACAATCTGCGTCCTAAAGCCTCTGCCAAGCGACTGTAGCGATTGAAACTGGTCACCGCAAGGGGCAAACCAAACAAAAGAGAATGGTAAATCTGAAAGGCTGGCTTCTGCCATTGCTCGTGCCAAAAGGCCTGCGCACAGCCTAGCGACTCCTCATAATTAGGAAATCGGAGTTCCCCGATAGATAGGCGTTCGGCCTCGCCGCCGCTCTCGAAGGAGTCCCACTCCAATCGGGCGCGCCACTGGTCGAGAGAAGCGCACGCGGCGATGGCCGCGATGTGTTGAGCTGGCCGGAATGGAGAGCAGAGTGTCAACTTGTTGCAATCGGATGACCGCTCGGATTGCCCACCTGTATCCCCATTGTCGATGATCCGCTTCTTGCCACTGGACTGAACGATGACGCATCAAGCGATGAGGGGCACCCTGGATGTAGCTGAGCATGCGTCAACGGCTTGGTACAAAATCCCTGAGAAGCATCGCTGTCGTGCGGCCCTGGTTTCAACTGCTTGATGATATGGTAGTTGTGGTCCTGCCAGCCGTCCAAGACTTCGGCCATGGTGATCTCGCGACCTTGCTGGACAGGGAAAACGCCGTCCCCACTACTGGCATACCCCGAATCAAACCATATGGGTAGGTCGTATCTGCCTGCCCATGACAACAACATAATCAACAATGCTGTCAGCCCCAAATCCCTGGTCGCCGTCACTCGGCGAATCGCTGGAGTTTGCAAGCGTCGCAATTGGGCTGTCACCGGGCCCCATCGTTGCTCGAGCTCTTTGATGGCCCCAATGGCTCGCTTGCGCAACGCGTAGAGCTCGGTGGGCGGCCGCCCGTGCTGTTCGGCGCAGAACCAAAGGTCATCATCCAACAGGGGGGGCCTCTCGGTCGGCAAGGGCTGGTGCCCCAGTGTCAGCGACTGTTGAAAGTGTTCGTCGATGGAAAGGCCGAAACTCAGCAGAGGCGGGAGGGCTGCCTTGTGACTCATGGCACCCGCTTGTTGGCCTTCCGCATGCCGTTGCAAGAGTCTCGAATGGTGGTATAGCTCGTGAACATTGACCAGGTCCTCGACCAAGGGGAAACGAAAACCTGCGAACCATTCGTAGGGGAAGAGACGCCTGCTTGAAGGCCAAAATTACGCTCTCCTGCGGGAACAGCTGCGTAGGGGCCATCGCATTCACGCCCGACAGAGAAATCACCCTCATCACCCTCGAAGAGTGACCGCGAGCGGGCTTGGCTTGGCTGCCGGCTTTGTAGTGATGCTTGGGGGTGTTCCTGGTGACAGGTAGTCGAAGACCAGTCCGGCCAACGCAGTCGCAGGGCATAACGGCCCACCGCCGGTGTCACTCACCAGCACCTGGCCTTGAAGCTCGGCCAAACTGTCCCAGAGGGTGCCGCGGATGTGGGAAACGGGGGTGCCCACTTGGTGGTAGGCAGCCGATGTCGATGGTGACCCTGGTCGACGTAGATGTGGTTGGCTGGCAGGACCCCGTCCTGGAGCACGTCATCAACTGCAGCTACTGGACATACGCGAGACCGTTCTTGGGCGTCCGGAGGCAAAAGGCCAAGGCTGATGGCCATTGGCGTCATCGCCCATTCACGAAGCGACCGATGGTCAAGATAGAGCCAGTGGGGGCGATGGCCTGTTGTCTCAACTGGCGGGAGGCGCCCCAACTTCAGCTTGGCATGGCCAGTTCGAACGGCCCAATAGGAAACGGAGACTGCAATCGAAAAGGCCAGCGGGGCGGTGTACTCAGCCTCCTCTTTGCTTGGGAACACCTTGGCACCGTCAACCTCGAATGGAACCCAGTGAATGGACATGGTTGCACCGTAGTGGGGGCCAGCGACTGATCTCCTCAATGTTGCGGCGGAGGTTGTGGTACTTGGCTCTAGCCCCTGCAAAGCAACACGCTGCATAGGTAGTATCCTGCCACATCCCGGTCTTCATCATCTCACGCTCTTTAGGTAACTCCCAATGGAGCGAAATTGCCCGGATTCTCACGAATGGAGCCGCCCCCCGCGCTGGGCCAAGGCCTGGATCTCAGTGGCAGGCTTTGTTGTTCAACTCGCTCCTGATTCCGCTCGGATAGGTTCGGGAGGCCTTCCGGGTGTTGCTTGGAACGGAGTGGTGGAGGGCCCGGCCTGCCATCGGAAAAGGTGACTGGAATCTCACGGGCCCATGACTTGGTGCTGCAATCCAGGGCTGCGAAGAGGAAGGTTGCAGCTGCTCATGGAGGGAGGCCTGTCGAAGTGGGTGCGACAAGTCATGTGATGCATCGATGAGCCAATCAACAGTAATAGTGCGCCATCCACAAAAGATGAAGGCTTTGGTCAGCGGGGCGTTGGGCCCGGCCATGAGGTCCACCATCAAAGGAGACTCAGACGGCCCTGGGACATGGTCCTCCGTGCAGGTGGCCGAAGCTTACCGTGTGAGGCCGCATCACCCCCATCTCCATGAAGGTGTCCTTGAGGGCCTCAGCACGGCGGACCACGTTGCCCGGCTCAAAGGCCCCGCCCGTCAGGGTCACTCCCTTGGCGCGGTGCAAAGCAGGTTGGCGACTCAATGGAGGGCGACGATCCGAGGATGAGCCTTGTCCAGCCTCCACAGTATTCGCTGCGTCGCGCAAGAGAGATTGCTCGGCGGATGCTCGGGCCTCGAGCCATTGTACTGCAAGTGCCTGGCCACCAGCACGCACGGCGTCCTCGAAGGACTCGAACGCGTAGGCCAGATCATCGTCCCGCTGAAGCCCGAAGTGGTCGCGCAGCTGCCTTGCGCGCTGCTCTTCCACTCGCGCATTGGCCCGCTCGGGGTCCCACCCCGGCATGGCCCCAGCTGCCTCCGCCACGTAGCGCCCATCGAACGCCATGGCAGCTAGAGCTGTCCAGGCATAGCGGGCATTGGAATGTCCAGACTCGGCAGTCGTCACACACCGATCGATCACAGGACGAACACACAGACCAGGTGGGACAACAACACATGAGGCAGTAGGGAGGGATGAAGGGCACCTCAATCTCGGTCGCTCTGAGAAGGTGCCGAATAAGCGCTCCGGCTTGGATGAGCTCGGCTTGCCCAGCCTGCGGACATCCAACGCGGGTCGGCTCCCGCCAGGCCTGCCAGATCCGAAAGATGGCCACCAGATGGCTCCAGGAAATCCCATCCTGGTTATAGGCCAACTGGTTGAAGAGCCTCTGCACGTGAGCTGGCGAGATCGCTTCTCGGTCCAGCGGGCTCCGAACCATCTCCACCCCAAAAGGTCGAAAGTCGCCGAGTTGGCATGGTAGGCATCCCATGCACCCTGAGGATTAAGGCCCGGTTTGGACCACAACGGCGCGGCGCGTCCAGGTGCCAACCCACGGAAACCGAAGCCCCCCCCACGCGTCGCTCGCACCGGGAACAGGGGACCTCAGTGCATGGGATGCGTCTGATGGGAGGCATCGTGGGGGATTGGAGTACCTCTCCAGGTGGCGACCCCACGTGAAAGATCTCAACCACGGACTCCCAGAGCACCAGAGCGGCGTCCCGCCTCCCAACGGCCAGCAAGGACTCGATGTGCGCGGTGAAGTCCAACCATGCCGCCGGGGTAAGTACCTGCAAGTCCGTGAAACGGGCAACATCGATACCCTCCCTGACCCTCGCTGGCATGAAGTCTTCCGTCAGGTCACTCCTGAACAAGAAAACACAGAACCTGCCAGTTTGGATCAGACTTGAACCAAAATGGTGTCAGGCTCTGAACTCTCTAGGGAATGACTACTGTCCACCCAAGCCTGCCAGACCTAAGACAGTCATATATGTGTGTGTCTATAAACATTCTGGGCAAAGGGTACACCAAGCAAAAGCCGTGATAATTACTGGTTTAACACATTTTGGACGTGCTGGCCTGATCAACTCTTCCCTGCGAGCTGTTTGTTAGATGCGTGGAAAAAATGTCCTGATCATGCGCAATTTGGGGCATTTCCTCCTCGCGTGATTTCGCAGCTTGTGGGCCTGGGCTCTCAGAGCTGGGAGCTTCCGTGAAGCGTGCCACATTCTCTGGATCCAAGTCGATGTTTCCACTGCTGAGAGCCATCCGTAGATTCTTCGCAGGCCGTGCGGGTGGGACGGCAGTCTTGCTCTTCGGGGAACTCAGGGTCTTTGTTTCTTTAGTTTCCTTGGCATCCGGTTCGATCGGATCCTGACCGTCGCCGAGAGCCTCTAGCTTTGCGCGAAGATCCTCAATTGTAGCCCGATTCTGTTGCACTTCAGCTTCCAGAAGGGCCTTTGCCTCAGACTCTCGGGCCTTTGCCTCTTTAGCCTCCTTGGCCTCCTTCAAGGCTTTGCTGAGTTCTTTGGCGTCGCTCTCTGCAGCTCTTTTCAGCTGCTCAACTTGTTGTTTGTACTCCGCCCATTGGGCCCTGTACTGCTCCATTTGTGCCTTAACTTCCTTCGAATGGTCCTGCTCTTCCTGAAGCAAAACGGTCTTTTTCTGAAGCTCATTGGCTATCTTGGCGCTGTCTCGCTTAATGTTCTTGTGCCGGACAGCTTCCACGTGGCAGTCACTGAGCTCCTGGTCTTTCTTGGCAAGGCGATTGCGAAGCAAACGCAGTTCTGCTTGGAAGGCTTCAATCATCTGATCCCGTTGGAAGGCTTGCAGTTCATCCTCCTCTTCAGATCTCTCAGGAGGGGTCACAGGCAATGGTGTCACCGGTGGCTGCGGAGTTGCAGAAGTGGAGACACTGTAGCCGACAGGCCCTTCATCCATCCCAGACTGCCCTTGGATGGTCCAAAAACCTAAACACTGTGCTTGAACTTTGCCCCCTGCTCAGTGCAAAAGGCCATCTATCTATCTGTCACTGTGAGCCGTAAAGTGACAAAAAGCCCAAGGACTGCACCCCAACATGACTGCAGACTGCCACGGTATGCGAAAGCCCACACATGCTCAACACATCGCGACACCAACTTGTTATAGATGTGACAAGTGTGTGTGTGTGTGTGTGTGTTTGTCTTGTCTTTCTATATATATATATATGGTTCTGACTACATTCATGCATCATGTTCAACTACGCAAGCCTGCCACTTCAAGTGTCCCCGGCCCTCAAGGCTTTGTCCCAACAATCAGCTCAAAGCATCATTCGAATTGCCTCCTCGAGAGGCTTCACAGGTGGAACTGGTCCACTAGCATAAGGCCTGGAACCGAATGGGATTCTCCAGCCCTCAATCAAGGAGCAGCCACACTTGTACATTCTGATTGGAGAAGTCGACCAAGTGTGGGTGTCCAAACCACATGGGCCACCAGTTATTGTAGAAATAGATGGAAACAGTGCAAAATAGTAAAAGTCACAAAAACCTGACTGCATAATACTGCATCACACTGCATCCTCATTTCTTGTGCATCTGTGCGCAGGTTTGGGTGTCATACAGCCATGCAGTATTATGCACGATCATTCTCATGCTCAGGGAAGCACACGGAAAGAACTGTCGGTTAGAACAGCGACGTCTCACGTCTCATGTCGCCTGCTGCACTGGCTAAGGGCGATCTCAGCCAAAGAGATCCTGAGAGGCGTCGCTTTGCACCGCGGCTGAATGGCCATAGTTGGCCCCAGCTTGCTGACCAACGAGGCGTCGTCAGAACCACTCTCTACTCCCAGGTGACTTAAATTAAGGCGGCCCTTGACTAAAGTACATGTACGGAAGTTTTGTCGGATGCTCAAATCATATGCATCACAAAAATGAAAGAACGAGACAGCGTACGAAACAACCAGCGTCGTAACTGGGTCCCCAGCAGCATCGCTGCCTCTCCTCGTCGGTTGCCGGCCTGGACAAAAAGACAGGAGTGGCTGAAGGGGTTTAATCTTTGTTCTCTTTTCATATCAAAAGCTCAACTTGGGTCATCTCCCACCGGACCGGTCTGCCGCAAGGGGTGTCTTTTTGGGGGTCCGATTCATGGCCAAATACATCCAAATACATTCTCGTCCTGCAAGGCCTTTGATAGCTGTTTGCCTCATAAACATAGATATATCATATCAGAATGGATCGAGAATGGGAGCCGACGCTACTTCAGGCCTGAGCAAAGTTGTTCTTCTCGGCCTCTGCGAATTGCTGTACTTCTGTTAGCTCCTCTGCCGGGTTGCGCGGCGTTTCCTTCCATGTCCTGTCGGTGCTGACCTGTTGAAGCTGCACTGCGAGCATGCGCTTCCCATCAATGACCAGGCGAAGCACATCTGGGAGCGGGCCCCTGGTAACCAAGCCGCATGAAAGAAGCATCCGGGTAAAAAAAGAAAGCGCCAATGAGGGATTTGTCATGATGCATCAAAGAATAGTTCCTTGAAACATCCTGAAGGCATTCCTCCAGAAAACCTGAGTTGGAAAACCTGAGGCAAAAACTCCCCGTCTGCTCCGAGGCTTCGGAAGATCTCCAAGGCCTCGACATGCAGCTTCAGTGTCGGATGGTGGCGATGGCCTATGGCCCTATTACGTGAGGCAACCAACATCTGAATCTAGATCTAATATGAAGTTCGGATCAAAAATGGATTCAAGGGAATCAAAAACGCAGCAGCTTGGCGATTTCCATTCTCAGTGCGAAGCAGCTTCGGAGTCCTGAGGTTGACCAGACGCTTCGGCGGCCGAAAAAAGGCGGCCAAACGTGTTCGGATGCCAAAGCCCACAGACTGGCCCTGCCTTGAGGCTTTCTTGTGCCTTGCCGACCTGACGGAGCGTTTGCGCCATGCGTTTTGAAACTGCGGCCATGCTATGCGTTTTCATGCGCAAATGGGTGCACGAAATGTCGGCAGTTGCCACCTTCAGGCTTTTCTCAGCAGCTGTCAGTTTCAGCGCAGCCTGCCAAAGGGTGTTCAGCTTTCTGTGGAGCATATGTGCATGTTAAAAGCACTGAGTATAAGTGTATTGTGATGGGCTTGATGAGTGAAATCCACCAAAAAGAATAGAAATCACAGAATGCTGCTGTTCACCAAAGGCGGAAAGAAAGCGCTAACGTTTCCGCTGTGGGTTTGCATGTCTCCTTCAACTACCTTCAACTACACATCCAAACGCAAAGAACGCTCCAAACTCAAACCACGTGCATTGGGACGTTTGGCCTCTCGCTTGTCGGGCATTTCGAGAGCGAGAAGGCAAGGCCCAGCGGCCTTCACACCCCATCCCAGCTGAAGCCAAACGCGCCAAAGAGGTGCATGGGTGCACAGGCTGTGCGGGCTGGTCTCATTATGGCACTTGCTCTCCAACCTGGAAAAAAGAACAAAGGACCTAGCAGCCAAGCAATTAATGAGGCCACTGATCAGAAAGTAAATATCAAGCCTCAGTGACTCAGTGAGAGACCCTTTCGCGTTTTAGCCGTCCCACTTCGGAATTGAGCACTCATTTGGGCTTTAACTATTTTTGTTGCCATCTCGCTTTGCCGGCTTCATCCGGGGCATTCATCCCTCCACTCAGGATATCTGAGAGCTGCTGACATCGCTTCCAATGAACTTGCTGATAAGCGTCATCAAGAACAAGACCTTGGCACGCTGCTGCCCTTATCCTTATGAGAAGAACCCAGCCTGAGCTCCCTGTCACTGGTCAGTATTTTGGGTCACTAGTTACTAGAGACAATCTCTTGACCCACGCAAAAGCTGCCAACTAATTGATCAATATTCTCTGTCACCATGGAAATAAGCACCCATCTTGGATTGAAAGAAACTAAATGCCGCGCACCAGACATTGGAAGCCCACCGGACCTAAAAGCCGCTCCACTTTTTTGCACTAGCCGCCAAGCCGCTGGAAACTCCTGATGCTTCTTCGACGGCGGCTATCAGCTCCTGTGGATCACATGCAATGATCACTACATCCGCTATACTAGGAGTTACAGGCAGGACCCGGCAGGACCAGAGTATATATAAATATACATATATATATATATAAATGTATTTGTCCATGTTCGTCCTACTTACTGTTGCACTTCAGGATCATTGAACATTGATAATCCCCGGCCGGATTGGAGCTCAGCTACATTTGTGCAGCATCACAAGCAATCCCCGTCTCTACAAGGCTCAGAACTACAGGACTAGAACAACTCCAGAATTGAGCGTAGTTGACTGCCTTAGCCATGCTCCCTGCTCTCTACACTACACCTTCCCAACTTCTGGCTGGCCAAGCTAGTGGCAAACACCCCCAAGTGTCAAACAAAACACATTCACGGGAACTACTTCCATGGCACACATGATATATAAACACTGGGTCTCGCGACATGCCACCTGCACTAGCGGCAGCGAGAAGTGATGGCCGGCAATGTCCAAATAGCTTAGCTTGCACTTTCCCAAGCTGGTCGCCAGGGCGGCTGCCTAGGTGTTACAACTGCTAGCTAGCTTTATATTTGATGATGTCCAAGAACTGGAAGATCATCATTCGTCGAATCTGCTCCCTATGATTGGAAACCTGGCACGACTCAAAAGCAGTTCAGCAAAGCTGCACCTTTGTCGCACATAGAAGTGCGACGCAATGCTAGGGAGCGGATCCCAGTCCTGCGTGTCGAAGAACAATAACCCCTTTCTCTTTCAGGGGTTCCAGTGCAGGCCTTCAATTTGAGCTGTGCAACAGCCTAGTTTGGTTTCTGGGCTCATTGCAAAAGACTGCTCATCTTGTGTCCAACCCTTTCCTTCTAACCTCATGACTCATAATGGAATGCTGCTACAGGCAAGGTCTTCAACAGAGCATGTTCATGTGCAAAATTCAGAGACTGGAGACAACAAGGGTGATTCGAGGCACAAGCAGTTGATTCTCACCTAGTCAACTCTACCATGGCGATTTGAGATGTACCGAGCAATTCCACATGTTGTTTCCCAACAGCACATGTTGATGACACCACCAGGCCCATCAAGAGAGGCTTTTCTTCAAAGCCGGCTAAACTCTTCCACTGCAAACAGGTTAGACGGCTAAACCAAAGCAAACACCATTAAGTTAAGTTCGACAAACTTTCGGGTGCTGGCCCATGGCCAGCGTCACCCACTTCAAAGCGAGCCGTGTCATGCTGTGCCCATGTCTGCCTCTCCTGGGAAGTAAGTCGAAAAGCCCGGATAACCCAGAGGAAGTGATGCGCCGATTGTCATCGAGACGCAAGCTAACAAGTCTGCAGCTGGGCGACGGCAAAGCTTCACACAGCTGCTGGATGCTCTTGTCCTCACGGACTTGCACTTCTTGTCATGATTGTATGGGAAGGCAACAAAATCATCCAACTGGAACCGTTTATATGTGTGGACATTGCCAGTCTGCCTATTTACAGAGCAACTCAACTGATAAAAACCTATGTACATCTGCCGTTGGGCTTCGTTCAGGAGATTTTCCGCAAGGTCAAGGATCTCCACACCTCCACGGGAAATCAAGTCTGCAAGGCGTTGCACGTCTTTGCATCGGTTTCCTTGCAAGGTCAAGTAGGTCAAGCGCATGCTGCGTTGACGCAAAGCTCCGCAAAGGGCGGCAACTGCATGGTCACTGAGGCTATTCTCAGAGATGTCTAATTCTGTCAGGCTCGTGGGCAAGCTTTGCCACAAAGGTGACCATGCATCACTGGATGGCCCAGGGCATCTCAAGATTTGCAGCGACTTGAGCTGCTGGCCTTTGACCTCGACATCTTCTTCTAAAGATTTCTCTTGGCAAGGGCTAGCTGCCTGCACGGCATCCTGGACATCATCAAAAAGATCCATTTGCACTTCTTCGGTCTCTTCGCCTTCATCCACGGGCGCTGGTCTCCAATCACTTGAGCCGCCCAGTACTTCACCAAGCAGCTCCAAATGATGAGCGCCCAAGGACAAGGAGACAAGCTTGAGTGATGTGATCATGGTCATGGCATCAGCGTTGGAAAGCAGTTCCTTCATGCAAAGGTCCAAGTCATCCACCTCTGAAAGCACCACTTCCTTGCAGACCGACATTGCGACTCAAGCTGACATCGCGCTACGCAAGAACGCATGGCAAGGTACACAGGAAACCAATCATCCCGAAAACATCCAAAAACTATCTACTGTACCATCATCTGCCACCTACATACTGTTGTTAGTTCAGGAATTGCCTCCCTTGCCTCTGAAGCGGCCCCCGTAAGAGCCCGCTGTATATCCAAAGCTGTCCGACACTCGAAAGGCTCCAGCGGAAGCATGGCAAATATGCAAACCGAAAACCAGTTGGATTGATGGTTGACATGCGCTCAGGAATAGAACGCGCAAGGAGAAATAAACACAATGGAACAAAAACAAGGACAACTGAACACACAAGGGTAAACATAATTTTGACCTACTTTGATACAGGCGCAGGTTGAACATAATTTTGATCCAATTTGATACAGGCGTAGGTTGATTTCTCGCAGGCAAGTGCTGAGCAAATATGCAACGCGGATTGACATTACAACAAATTTCACTGGTTCCAAGGCCAGAACATTCCAATGGTTCCAAGGCCAGAATGGTTCCAAGGCAGTCGAGTAAAATACATATATATATATATAATAGTATATTATCTGAGCTGTTCGCAAGCCCGACGGGCCTAAAAACAATCCGTAATCCGTGTAAACCACGTATCGCGCGCAATCCGTTTTAATCCGCAATCCCGGCTATAATCCGTCATCCTTATAGGGTGGTTAGCCACCCCCCACGGCCTCGCGCGGCGCGCGGCGATGTGGTTTGCCGCTGCTCTGGCGGCTGCGGAGCTCATCGCCTGCTGTGCGGCGCTAATCCGTTCGAACAAGCTTGGCTTGGCTGGCTTGGCTGTGAAAGAAGGATGCTGTTTCAAACTGACCCTTGGCCATCCCCCTCGGCACTTTACTCTTACAGGCGCCTTTAGTCAAATGGTTCTCGATGTAACACCAGACTGACTCCCGACACTGGTGTGAAAAAGAAATTCTTCTCGAAAATCTCAAGGAGGGGGGCCTTATAATATGTATATAAGGAAACCTGAGAAGTTATAATATTCATGGAGTATGTGAAAGAGATTCGGAGAGTATTCATATGGAGGACATATTCATATACCGGATATAGTATTTAACCAGAGCACAGGAAAACATCAATTCAAAATCATTCAAAATCACTCTTGGGACATGTATGTGCGGTGAAAGTGGCTCCCTTGTCCACCTTGGTCCTTTGAGGCAGCCCCACGCTACAAGAAACTAAAAGGTTGTGAAAATAACTCCCTCGCCTGAGGGTTCTACCCAGATTTGCCTTCTGAGGGAATTAGTTTGGACTGGACTAAAGCTCAATCCTACCAAGTCTTAATCTTGAAATGGATTATCAAAGTAACTCCCTCGTCTGAGGGTTCAGCCCAGATCTGCCTTCTCCGGGAATTAGTTTGGATTGGATTGGGGAAAGCTCAATCCCACGCAGTCCCTGATCTTGAAAAGGATTGTCAAAGTATGTCAAACTAACTCCCTCGTCTGAGGGTTCAGCCCAGATTTGCTTCTTGAGGGGATTAGTTTGGATTAGAAGTGGCTTGTCAAAGTAACTCCCTTCAGCCCAGATTTGCTTCTTGAGGGGATTAGCTTTGATTTGACTCGGGGAAACCTCCATCCTACGGTCCTACGGTTATGTTGGGCAATGGCAGCCATGCATGACCAACCATCAACATAAGCCTTTTTGGAGAAAACAGCGAAAAAAAAAAGCAGCAGAAAACGCAAAAGCCACTGTGTTTGCATGTGTTTTGCCTTTTTTGAGCTTTTTTCCTGGCACCTCTTCTGCACTTATGAGAACTTTTACCCGTCAGCAATATTTGCTGTACGCTCCTAGGAAAAAAGTGATGAAAACATGCGAAAAACATACGAAAACAATGTGAAAATAAAGCGAAAACATGAAAAAAGCGACAAACACGCACAGCTACGGTTTTTCTTTTTCCCGAATGCGCAGCGAAGGGTTCTCGTTTAACTCTTGGGGGTCTGGGGGTGGAGTCTTGTTCGCGACCCGTTGTTTCTATGTTCGCAACCGTCCGCAACCGTCCGCAACCGTTCGCAACCGTTCGCAACCGTCCGCAACCGTCCGCGGTAGAGCGCTAAGGCGCTGCCATTGGGGGAAGCTTTTGCAAGTGACTTTTCATGGATGTGTCCCGTGTCAGTTTGCGCCGCTATTCCATTGTGATTTGCATGAGAAAGACATGTCGCGCAAGCAACGTGATGCGTTTCGCTGCACAGGCGCAGCGTTTGGTGAGATCTGCAGATTGCTGCGCAGTTCCATTAGGATTAGCGTTTGGAGAGTCGTGTTTTTGGGGTGTTGGATGTGGCTGTGCCATTGGGATTTGCGTTTCAGGGTGTGGCATCGAAGCTCTGTTTTCGTGACAAGTCTCAGCTGAAATGCCGATTTTGGTGGATGGGAGTGTGCTCAGAACGGGTCGAAATCATTCCAAACGTGTGGTGTGGTGCAAATTTTGTTGAAGCTCACATGAGATGACATTGTTACTTTTCGTGGCAGGCGCAGGACTTTGTGCGGGTTTTGAGGTGTGGAAGTGGGATTTTCGTGGCAGGCGCAGGGAATCGTGAGGTTGCGATGTGTGACGGAGGTGACATTTCGTGGCAGGCGCAGTACTTTGTGCGCGTTAGACATGTGGACGCGGAAAGATTCGTGGCAGGCGCAGGGAATCGGGAGGTTGTGGGTTGTGGTAGAGGTGAATGTCGCTGTCACATTGGGATTGGCGTGTGAGCGGGCGTCGTTTGGAGGGGCTGGAATTGCGAAACTGCTTGGCAGGGCTGCGTGATGTGTGTGCTCCGATGGGTGTTTCCGCTGGACTTTTGGAGGAAGTCTCGTGCGAAACGTTCGTTTTGCAGACTTTGACATGTGAGTTTTTGAGGAAGTCTCGTACAAAACGCTCGTTTTGGGGACTTGACATGTGACTTTTGGAGGAAGTCTCGTACGAAACGCTCGTTTTGGAGACTTGACGTGTGACTTTTGGAGGAAGTCTCGTACGAAACGCTCGTTTTTGAGACTTGGCGCGTGACTTTTGGAGGAAGTCTCGTACGAAACGCTCGTCTTGCAGCCTCGCAGCGTGACTTTTGGAGGAAGTCTCGTACGAAGAGTGTGCCCTACAGGAGTGTCCCACAAGAGTGTCCCACAAGTATCCCACAAGAGTTTCGAACAACAGTGTCCCACGAGAGTGTCCCACAAGAGTCTCCTACAAGAGTGTCCCTCAAGAGTGTCCCACAAGAGTGTCCCGTATGAGTGTCCCACAAGAGTGTCCCACAAGAGTGTCCCACAAGTGTGTCCCACAAGAGTGTCCGGCAAGAGTGTCCCATAAGAGTGACCCACAAGAGTGTCCTACAAGAGTGTGCAACAAGAGTGTCCCGTAAGAGTGTCCCACAAGAGTGTCCTACAAGAGTGTCCCACAAGAGTGTCCCGCAACAGTGTCCCGCAAGAGTGTCTCACAAGAGTGTCCCTTAAGAGTGTCCCACAAGAGTGTCCCGCAACAGTGTCCCACAAGAGTGTCCTACAGGAGTATCCCACAAGAGTGTCCTACAAGAGTGTCCCACAAGAGTGTCCCACAAGAGTGTCCTGCAAGAGTGTCCCACAAGAGTGTCCCGTAAGAGTGTCCCACACTAGTTTCCTACAAGAGTGACCCACAAGAGTGTCCCACAAGAGTGTCCTACAAGAGTGTCATTTGGACATATGTAGCTTTTTGAACGTGTTTGCATTCGGGTTCGTGGGCTCCATCTTGTTTGTGTGCGTTGCTTTTTGCTTTTTGCTTTTTTGCTTTATAAAGTTATTTTGGCTCCTTGTATCTATGGCTGGCGCGCCCGACATAATCCTACGGAGTCCCCGACTGCGTTCCTCAGCCCAAGCTTGATGTTTGTTGTTTTCTTGTCATCGTGTCCTCAGAGTCCTTTAGACTATTTTAGACTTTCCTTGAGAGGGGAACTTGAAAATCCCAGGGACCCTTTCCCAACGGCAGCGATTGTTATGCGCAATATCAGTGTAAGCCTTTGTTGTTGTAAAAGTGCTCTGAGTTGTCATAGAAGTGCTTTGGAAAAAGTGCTAGGGGTTTGATTCTTCAAGCCCCCCCCCCCCCCCCAGTGAAGCTTTTGCTTTACATTGCAGGCCCTCCCACCCACCCAGCGAGGTGAAGCTTTAGCTTTGCAGACCCCTCCCACCCGCCAAGAGAGGACAAGTCGATCGGGCTTTGATTCTGTAGCTGAGAAAACACTGCTGGAAGAGTTCTGCTGCCACGTCCATGTGACACAGGACAGCGCGATACACCCCTCAAGGGAAGAGTGCGCACCCTTCGCCTCAGCGCCGCCACGCTGGATGCTGTCGTTGAGTGTGCGGAGCAGCTGGACCAGGTCGTCCGTGCAGAGCTCGACGCCCGCTTCGCAAATGTGGAGGTTTCACGGCTCTTTGATGCGCGCAGGCCGATGTACAAAGAACCTGCGCGGGAGTACCGTGATGCAGTGAATGAATTCAGACACATGCTTCGCCTAAAAGATCGGCATTTGCCCCATTACGCGGAGAAAAGCACTTTGGGCGCAGAGAAGCGCCGCCGTCAGTGCACAGAGCAAGTTGGCAAACGGGTTGGCGCGCAAGGGCCGATGCCACAAAGAGTCAAGTGCTGGCTGCGCAGCCATCAGGGGAGATGGCAACGGGGGAGGCCGAGGAGGTTAGACCAGAGCAACTCTGCTCGTTCCTCGCGTGAGCGGAAAACAGGCACAGGTCGTGGCATGCATCCGCCGCGCCCTATCTCAATTTCTCACCCACATCTTCTTTGGACATTGACCCGCTTTAACAGGTTCAACAAGTCCGTGGTGATCGCCAAGATCAGCCAAGATTCCAGTTCTCCAGTGTCCACCTGCATGGCCCTGGCCCACGAGGTGAGGTGACCCGTCTGGACCAGCACCACTGTACATAGCTGACGATCGCGCGGAAACTTCTGCCTTAGTTACGATTGGACTTGGGGAAAGCTCAAGTTTACCGAGTCCTAATCTTGACATGGATGGTCAAAGTAACTCACCCGTCTGAGGGTTCTGCCCAGATTTGCCTCTTGAGGGGGTTAGTTTGGATTGGACTTAGGGAAAGCTCTCTCCCACCGAGTTCTGATCTTGAAATGGATTGTCAAAGTAAGTCCCTAATGCGGTACTTTTGTCAAAACAAGGGCTTGGGGCTTTGGGGGTTACTATCATCCCACAGGTCACTGGTGTGGTAGTAGCAGTTGAAGTTGAAGTTGAAGTCGAAGTTGAAGTTGAAGTTGAAGTAGTAGTAGTAGTAGTAGTAGTACTAGCAGTAGTAATAGTAGTAGTAGTAGTAGCAGCAGCAGCAGCAGTAGTGGTAGTGGTAGTAGTAGTCGTCATCCTCGTCGTCGTCGTAGTAGTAGCAGTAGTAGCAGTAGTAGTAGTGGTGGTGGTGGTAGTAGTAGTAGTTCTCCCTTGCGCCCCGCCTCAGCTTCGTGTGCGGCAAGCCCTTGCTGCTGCTGTTGCTGCTGTTGTGGCTGGCTCATTAGCAGGTTCCGCTGCGGCATGGTTCAACAGCGGGAATCGGGATGTTCGAAGAGAACAAGGTGGGTGCTTGCTCCAGGCCAACACCCCAACATGTGATGTAAAATCTGCACAGGCATCTGGAAATGTTTCGGAACGGTGGTTTACGAAACAACCTGGACCTAATCCGCAATCTGCTCAACCCATCCAATCCGTAAACAAACCTAATCCGTAATCCGGTGGGGATTAGGATTGGTTATGAACAGCACAGATAATAAAATATATATATATATTATTTATATGTAATTTTATTTTGCATTCTTTTCATTGTATAAAGAAGCAGTCTAAGCCCTTTTTCCGTGAGCGAATCAATGTCTGGCTTTCATGGCATCCACATTTGTGATCGCCAGTCGCCTACCAGATGACCAAATGTGCCTCAAGGCGGTGGCTTGCAGCAGCCACCCAGTTGCACCAAATCTGGGAAGAGCTTTGACAACTCCTGCGATGAACATCTCCACCATGAATGAAGAAATGGCTTCACCAAACCTACACCACTATAGACCCCAGCAAGCTTTTCTAGATTCTGAATGCGTTCGCAGTGTTCCAGGGGAGGCGCTCGCAGACTGAAAATGAGAAGCAGGAAGCCCATCACTGAAAGGGTAGGAAAAGTCAGTGAGCTGAGGTGACAAGGGTGAGAGGTAAGGAGTAATGAGTAATGAGATGATAAATGGAATTTGGTCGGGATGGATTTCCGTTAGAGGCCCCATGCCGGGAAGTGTGAGACAACTGGCCAAACTCCACCCAGTCTCCACCAAGGCCATACACGGCTTGCCATAGGCCATGGAGGGCCTTTCAGGTCGGCCTTCATACTCACCCTGCGAAACGGTTGGGAGTCGAATCAAAACTGGACAATGCGTGAGAGAACGCAGTCACAAGTCGCCCATTTTTTCTGCTTGCGGTTTGGCTTTCTTTGTGGGTTTCGAATTGGCTCTGTGGTCAGAACATCCCATGCAAAGGATCCCTGCCCATGAACCAAAAGTAAAACAGGGTGCCCAGAACACCATGGTAGAAGCCCAATGGCAAGATATTTCGGTGCAGCAAGTACTCAATTGCCCATGGAACTCCCATGACACCAGTGCCAGCAATCAACCACGGATCGGGCCAATGGACAAAGGCAAAGGCCGTAGCGGAAGCCAGCACACATGCGAAAACAGCCATCAAGTGCTTGAGCGCAGGCTTTTTGAGGAAAACGTCGAGAACCGAGCAGTCATCCATTCCAGTGATACACCAGCTTAAATTTCGCATTAGGAACGACTGCAACATCACATGCTGCAACACACCATAGAAAGGATAGAGCGCAAGAATCACCCACAAGTGCCAGTTGTCAAACCTGATCTCCTGATTTGTCACAGCAGCACCGATGAAAATAAATATCAGTGCAGCAACTGCAAACAGACTTGGGATCAGGAAGCTCTTTCGCAAATTCGGCTGGTCAATGCGCACCCCCCAAAGAAACAGGATCCGGATCCCATGTCTGCAGAACTGGAAGGTGCACCAAGCAAGCCATACGACGGCGCAAGAAGCGATAAAAATGGACAATGGTTCCAACAGCTTGGCGATAAAAACGATACCAGTGATCAAAGTGGCCACGATTTCAAAGAGCCTCTCCCAGGGACTTAGTCGCGGGAGCGTCTTCTTGGGTGCCTGCACAACATCCTCCTTGTTTGCGATCTCTATCTCGGTGATCTCCGGCTTTTCACCCGGCTCAGCGCCATCTTCACCCATGCGTGGAGCAGGGTTTCTAGCTACTAAACCGAAAGCAGAAAGCTAATGCTTGAGCCCAGGTTAGCCCAAGTATCAAACGTCCAAATCCTTCATGTTGCTCTCTTGGCCTGCGTCTACGTCTACGTCTACTGCTGCCCAGGTACGTTTTGGAAGGCTCAAGCCAAGACTATAAATATGTGCCATATAAAAACACTGGGCATATATATACATATGTATATGTATATTGTATAGACACACACGATACTTGAACCGCTTGCAACAATGGTCACTACATGTCACCCTCTGTCATCCTCTTACATCACTGAAATCATGCCATCAAATTTCACCAGTATCAATCGCCAAAGCAAGCTCAAAATTCAAAGCTTGACTTGATCAACCGCGGTGAAATGCAAATAGAAGTGACAAAGCACCACAGGATGCTGTGCGTCTGCCTTGAGCCGTGCGATTTCGGGTGCCAGCTTCTTCAGTTCATTGATCCGCTCAAGCAAAGCTTCTGTCACAGCCTGTCAGCCACATGAGCTCTTAAGAAAAACCCGTAACTTGTATTTCACCTGCTGAAAGTGCCTTGATGTTGTCCTCAAGTGACCGCTCAAGAGGCCGCTCAGGTTCTTTGGTGACATCCTTGAGGAATCCATGGAAGTCTTCCTGGCATTGAAGTCTTGCAATGTTTAAGGATCCGGGTGCGGGATACATCAAAAGTGTCACATTGGTCCGTGCATTCTTGTGCTTCTGCACTTCCTTGCCTTCTCGCAGTACTTCAACACCAACTTCTCGGCAACAGGAACACCAGCCTTGAAAATGATGCCGCCACCCTGCGCCAAAACCAGCGGAATGAAGCAGACTGAAGCACGCATACAAGCTCCTTCGAGTAAATTAAAACATCATAAAAGTCGGCGACGCATTCTACACCTGTTCCTTCAAGCTTGGTCTTCTGCCTCGTCAATTTCTCCGAGCTTCAGGGAGTTCAGCTTTGCCTCTGCCTCCTCGAGACTGTCAAAGGTGAGCACCTCCATGCCCGAGGAGTCGAAAATGGGCGGGATGTAAACCTGAGAAATCCCTTCCAAGCTCACAGCAATGCTTGTCCTCAGAAAAGCTATCCATATGCACTCCTCTCTCGACACTCCCGTGCTTTCAGGCCCCTGCCAGCTGCCACAGCGCAGGATCTGCAGCACGCAGTCGCTCTGCTTCTGACAAGAGCGGCTCATCAGGATCATCGCAATAAACCTGGACAATTGATCGGGGTAGGAATTCCCTCTATAAAATGGTCAACATTGCCTCCTGAGTCACTGAGGGTCCATGCTTTATAGAGGAAATTCAGTCCCCGATCTATGACAATTGTACAATAAAACTGCTGCAACTGCATATGTGCCAAGCAATCGACTGATTTTTACACTGCTTCAGAGGCCAGTTTGGACTGGCCTTTGGCATGTGAAAACCTGCTTCCCTCCCAAAGCAAAAACCAGGACTTAGTTTCACCCAGGAACAGGTCCAGCCAGGTCTGGTGACAAAGGCTGCGGTGGTAAGCCACATGCTGCCCATATCTTGGCAAACTCCTGTCAGGATCTGCCAGGTTTTGGATCTCGACTTAGTTCCGATTTCTGTGCGTCTGTAAGGTTTGGAAAAGACTCCTCATGACTCTCCCACACGAGTGGAGTGGCTTTCGTCTCCGTAATCTAATTATATAAGCCAGTAGTACTACTAATCGTTACTAATGTCAGCTCGTAGGTTCCGGTTTGCCCCTGGGGCTGCTACCAACATTTCTCGGGACTTAAAGGGCTGCCAGGTCCCGAGCCAACAGTGCCCCTTCATAACGCCCTATTGGGCCCTATTATGCCCTCATATTCACCCGTTTCACATTAACTGGCCTTGTGATGGCAATGGATTGTCTAGGGTGAGAGGTATCAAGGCCAGGGTGTCTTTTTGTGTTGGATGCCTGTGAATCATAGTTGGAACCCAGTTAAATTTTGAAAATATGTTGTGTTGTCAGGCCTTTTTTTT